TAATTCAAGACTTTTAGATGTGTGCTTTGGGAATTAGGTGGTATTGCACGGGAATAGACTAAAAGAGGTGTCCAAAATGTGGTACTTGCTATTTGCTAAACGGACAAGGTTTGAGATATGATCATTTACTATTTTCTTCAAGTTCTTCTAATTTTTTTCTTCCGACTGTTGCTTTGCTCCCTGTGTATTGTGAGCTCTGAGCTGCAAAATGCTGTAGCGCAACTGGGTCTGGTTGTGTGTTTCGAATTTGGTGTATGCGCTGATAGATATATCCAGTAACAGAGAGGATTTTGCTGATTGCTCTTGCATTTTGCTTTTTGTCTTGTTTATCCTGTGCGCTAGGGATCCTTTCTCAAGCAAGCCCCGGTAGCTGCAAAACCAAAATCTGACCAATCTGAAATAGAGCGAGTAACTTTTTAGCAAAGCGTTTAAGCGTTCAGCGTTCAAACACTCCTAACTTCAGTATTTCATGTTATTTGGCAAATATTATTTTGGGGAGAAAGGAATAGTTGCTGGTGCTTCTTGGTGAAGCTGTGCTTCTCTGAAACCTGCATCTTGCACGATTTTTCACTCCCAAACAGGACCAAGGCGCTTCAGTGCTCTTTGGAACAAAATCAAGAACAGAAGCAACACCTGAGGAAAAACTTCGTGGTGGATGGTTGCACGGCAGCTTGCTGCTTCGCTCCCTGCCCTGTTTGGTTTTTTTCACAATGCTAATTTAGTTTAAAAACAAAACAAGAATCCCCCTCAAAAGGACTCCCTTGACAGAAAAGCTCAACTAGATACCTATTTGTATGCAGTGGACATTGAAACTGATTGCAGTAGGAGTGTTTGCTTTGCTTGCCTTTTTTTAATCTTTAAAAAAAATCAGTTTTACTTCACCAGCGTTTTGGATAGGTTACTCGTTTTGTGCATTTCTGGTGCTTTCCACTTGCTGTTTGAATGTAGCTTGAAAGAAGCAACGAGTAAATGTGAAATATCATTTCCCATTTTAAAACTGTTAAAAACAAAGATAGTTGATAAATACGTGTATTTATATAAAAGTGAATAAATAATTCTGTAAATTTACAAATTTACTCTTATCAATCTGTAATAATTAGACCAGTGACTACTGGGGGGAAGAAAGATATGAAAACCAGGCTCAAATGAGACTTTTAAAATAAAAATTTCCTGCTTGCTGCACAAGTTTATTGGTTTAGCCTGAGATGATCAAAATCATTTCTGTGAATAGGAATTTGAACCCCTTTTTGGTGAGCGTACAGGCAGAGGTATAACAAGGTACTGCTTCCTAGCTAACTTTTTTATTTCAAGTAGATTAGGAAAAGGAGAAACCTTCTCCTAAAGGCCAAAGCTGTGATCCCTGTCGGAAATCATATACAGGATCTTGCTTCTGATCTCGATGTATGCCAGGGTGCTGGAGTGTCTGCTGTATCACCAGGGCTCTCCGAGAGGTAACACAAAGTGCCTGGCACCTGCTGAAGGATGCCGATCACTTGTACCGTCTCTTTTGGCAACCTCTTTCCTATGCACTCAGTGTCATCTTGAAGCATAGAGCAAGAAAAACGGCATTGGGTGTTACTGGCGGAAGTTACCGTTGTTGCCGTAGTCTTCTCCCCACATATCTAAATGCTAGAACCTCTATTTCTGAGAGAGGTTAGTGGGGTCCTAGAAGACCTGCTTCCTTCAATTAAAAGACTGAACTTGCCCAGCCCAAACAAAAAGCTTCATGCTACTATAGGAGAAAAGGCCATGTTTTGGTTTGGCTGCTTCTATTTTTTTTTTTTTTTAAAAAAAAAGGCAGGAGGAAAGAAAGGGAGAATTTGGAGTGAGAAGTAGGTTAAAAATACTTTCTGGTGTCTTACATATATAATTAATTTCTATATTTAAAAAATAAAACATAATCATTTATTTAATTTAGCAAAAATTACCCTGCAATCAGTTAGTTTTAGTCATTACTTCCTCCTAGCTTCTCTTCCTCAAGTATTCCATTTAGATGGGGAGGAACTATGTCTGCATCTCTAAACACGAGATCTTTGCTTACTCACGTAGTCCAAAGTAAGGTTTACTGACCTACCTTAACAACTAGCTGCAAGCATGAGCCAACATTCGATGGAAGTAGCATCATCAGAAAAAGCCATCTACCTTAATGTATTTTGATAATTATTGTAATGAATTTTGTAAGTTAAGAATGGGGGTAATTGTCTGTAGGGGTAAATTTTGCTGGGAATCTCAGTGAACTGAGCGTTATGGGGATTTCAGATCTACAACTGTGGGAACTGGCTCCACTGGGATAGATGAACAACTACTCGCCTTCAAAGGAGCTAAAAAGACCGGGGATTTTGAAAAAGGCATTTTTTTTAATAATTCATTTTTAAAAATGTAGGCATGGTACCAGTTGTCCTGTCACTGTTGAGTGTTCGGAAAAAAACTGGCATTTAATCAATAGCTATCAAAATGGTACATGAATTTCAGTTGCTTTTATGAAACAAAAAAAACAAGTGACAGCCCTCTTTGACAAACGTATAACTTGAGTTTACAGTTTCTATAGTCATTTCTTTCCCTTTATAGCAGATGGGATGGCTCTGTTTTAAAATTTCTTTTCTGTTTTTGCCTTCTTCCAGCAACTTACGGTTCTACAGAGAGAAGGATTAAATGAAAGCACAGTAGATAACAAACCAAACCTAACATTTAGGAGCTTTCGTTAAGTGTTTTAGTGTTAACCAGCATGTCTTTATTTTCATGTTAAACTGTGATACCCTCAGCAGCACAAACACCCCACCTATGCACCCAGAGATGTAACGGCTGTGGAACTAAACTAAGGTGTAGTGATATCACTTTCCTAAGGTCATACGTGGAGTTAAGAACTTGCACAGCTATCCCATGTTTTTAGCCAATTATGTTGGCCACGTGATCATCTTTTCCAGCTGCCATCACTGTTTTTAAATAGGTGTTTTGGCATAGTCTGTCATCAACTGCCTCTGCTGTGTGAATCAAAATACTTCTCTAAGAATGCGTAGATGTTGATCAGTCATGAACTTAGGGACAGGAATTCAGGGTATGTATGTCTTTACTCTCTTCTTCGGTGATGCAAAGTAATAGTTTAGAACTGTTGACCAGGAAAATGTATCATTCTTTCTTTTAGTATGCGTGAGGTTTTGTGTGACACAACTTGTTAGGTATCATCTTGGCTAATCCGTGACAGTTTTGTCTTTGTAAAATAAACATCTAGGCCTTGCACGGCTGAATATCCAACCTCTTAGAAAAACCAGAACTCAACCCAGCGTTCATCACTTTGTTGCTGCTTGCTCTTCAGTGATCTCCCCCTTCAGTCATCTCTCGCTGTTGGGGGCTCCCTTCCCTTGCTGTAGGTGGTGGTTAGCCCGCTCCATCTGAAATTACGCGTCCTTTCTTCAGCTTAGCCTAAGCCTTGTTACAGAATTTACCAGCTGCACACCCGGCTAGCTAAGGGACTCTCCCTAGTTTCTGTTCTGAGTAGGGCGAGAGTGTTATCTTCAGATTTTTGCACTGTACCAAAATATAAATGTACCTAATTTTATACAAAGGCCATTCCCATACTCCCCAAATACCTTGAACTTACTCCAGTGAATCTGTAACAAAGTTAATTCACAATGACCGGTTGTAGCCCAACCTTTTTATCATAGTTTAAGACACGTAATAGGTTTTCATACCTTTACTGCCCTTTTTTTTTTGCCAAGATGCTGTACATTTTTCAGCTGCACCATGACCTTAAGTTACCAGTTGGCACTTTCTGATCTTGAATTGCCTCTTCAGAAGGTAAACCACTCCTATTCAGTCATGTATTACCTACATCTTCCATAGCAGTCAACGAACTTTAAAAGGTTATGGGAAACCCTCAGATTAATTTTAGGAAATCTCTGTGGTAGGTACCTAACTGTCCAGCCTCTCCAGAGAGAATAAGACAACATTTTCACTGACAAAGTAACTGAGTTCTCAAAGAAATGAATGAATGACTTTTTTTTTAATGAAGAAAGTTTATTGCAGGTCTGTCTTTTACAATTCTAGTAGAAAGTATAGCTAAGGAAGAAAATGAACTATGACCAATTCATAAGAATGAGCAAAGGAAAGGAATAAGCCGAATACATACTATATTGAACTAAGCATTATGGTAAAGATAAAACCTCATCATCTATCTTGTGACTGCAGATTAAGGATAGCTGCTCCCCAATCCTTGTTTCCAGTGCCTGCACCAGGTGAAGAGGGGGATCGCACTGACAAGCCTCTGATGGCAGCTAGTTGGAGCAGCTCCTCTGTCGGCTCACCCGACAACCAGGAACTGCTCCGTTCATCCTAGCTTAGGTAACATGCAGCAGGCTTTCTGTTCCAAAGTCATTTTATTTTACATAATAGGTAGTCTGACCCTGGAGAAAGGTGCGGATGGGACACTTGTGGATAGGATAGAAAACGGCTAGAACAAAAAGGCTTCCTTGACTCAGTCTTCATTACAAATCAACGTCCAGTGCTCACGTTTACATCCCAAGTCACTTTATTTAAATTCATATTGTCTAAACACTACCCTGCGGCCTGCAAGTCAGATAACAAACTTGATGCAAAAACAACCATCCTTCCCGCTCTCTCCAATGTTTGTCTCACGATATTTTACAGTTAGCCCACTAAAAATTTTTTTGTGAAAATGTGCCTCTTCGAGTTTTCTAGAAACTTGGCTAAAAATAGAGGCAGCAGAATAGAAGGTGAATGTAAGTTTTCTTCCCTTGTCTTCCTCTCCCACTTCGCTGAGAATCTTCATCAGAAGAACAGAACGGGGCCTGCTTGTAGAGGTGAGGCCAGGTAACTGTTCATCATCTCGCTGCTCATATAAAAATAGGGTTAGCTACACCGTAAGTTAGTCTATTTAGAGCCCAAGGCTGTGTGAAATGCAGTTAATTAAACTAACAAACACAGATAACTTAAAAATCATCTAACAGTGCCAGAATCTTTCCCCTACTCCGGTTCTCAAGACAAGGGCAAAGGGCACTCACAACGCACGTTCACTCACCCACTATTAGAAGATCCGTCTCCCGTGACAGAGCGTGCCTTGCGCTTGCCACGAGAGGGTGTACGCAAACTGAAAACAAACCGTCTTGTGAAATGAAGAGAAATGGTGGCGAGAGTGCAGGGAGCTCCCGTTGGATTTGGTTTCATCAGTCCTATGCACCAGGCTGATCCCCAGCAAACTCGGGAGATACTGAGGCAGGGAGCGCGGGGGATCGGAGTGGCTCAGAAGCAGCAGGGAAGAGGGTCTGGGACCCAGCCACGTGAGGATCATCAGCTGCAGCAGTAATTGCAGAAATTTTCGCCATTCCAGCTCCACCAGAGTCCTGATAGCGCTTGCTGCAGAAAATCTGACTCTCTTTATCTAGAGCTGTGTTCTAAAAACAAACAAACAAAAAAACCCAAGGCAAAAATATGAAAAGAGCAGTTAAACCAAAGCCCTGTCTTAACTTAACTTAAGGGTTAAAACGATCTACAAGACATTAAGTGCATGCATTAGAGCCAGAAAAAAAGGAGAAATAACATTAGAAATCTTATGTATCATTAATTGTAGCGTTTTGCAGTGCAGACTTTGGAAAATGTAAGGAAAACTTATCTTCCAGACATATGTTTGCCATGATGGCGTGAGTTTAAAATTTGGTCTTCCAAGTCTGATGTGGAAAAAAAAAATGACATGAGTGAGTATGCTATGGCAGGAACTCTTCATACTAGCTATTAGCAAAATCTATGTACCTGTGTTTTTGCAGACACAAGGAATCACGTGATGCTTAGTGAAAACTTAATACATTTTCTGTAACAAACCACGTGGTACAGAAGTGTATCTGTTTGTGAAGATGACAGATGAAAACCTAACCATTTTTTCTGTCTAAAAGAAAAGGGTCTTCTGCTTAGTGTCGAGAGTAAGCAAATGACCTCTCATGAAGCTGACATGGTGGCAAAAATGCATCATTTCTGAATACTATACTTAAAAATTCCTTTACTGGAGAAGGGAGTAGCAGGTTAGAGTGAAAACTGAGAACTCGCTCTGTAGTGCCATAGGTGGATTATCTGGAGCATGAGGTGTGTCCGCTGAAGCCGACGACTTTCATACCCTCTGAAGGATACTGCAAGTTACGTTAAACCACAGGGTAACGTTTAATTGCCAGTGGAAGGTCTAAAGTGACCTAGAGGGAAATCTAGTAGTTCCTGCGCCAAAAAATATGTCAAAATTGCTTTCTGCGACTTGGAGGGACAGTGCAATTGGTTTTGTTTCACAGTTTGAAGGCTGATACTCATCTTTAGAAACCCATATACTTCTTGGCTTAACTGTTTACCAGTGGTAATCCAGATTTAAGTTAATACAGATTAATTAAGTTCTTTGTAATTTATTCAGTTATGCAGAATGGTGCAAGGTGCACTTACTCTGGTCATGTACAGCTTGGGCTTTCTACAGTAATCCACAAACGTGTGACAATACGTGTTTCACCTTTGTGGTACCCCCTGCAGCTGTATGGGTAAGCATTAGATGACACTGTTATGTGGGATTTCATCTTTTGAGCTGGGATGTGCTAATTGTACGGTAAGGTCAGGTGCTCTGCCTTTTCTTAAGCAATTTCTTTTTTTTTTGATTGCTCAGGAGGACTTGCTTTACTAATGTGACATTTTCTATGTATTCTTAGTGGAGTTCGTCTAATACAGTATTCACTAAAATACACAGTTTTAGATAATGAAATAATTTTCTGATACAAGTTAAATTTAGCGTGTCTTTTTTTTTCCCCAGATGTGGTTTATTGCATCAAAGTCACCAAGGACAGCAGAAATAAGGTAATTACTTATCCTCTGTTTTCCAAAGTGACGATACAGCTTGGTAGTGAAAATTTCTTTCATTATGGGGTACCTGAATTCAAATTTCTCCTTTACTTGACTTGGCAAAGAGAGCTGGGCTAGGATCTCTGATTTCTCAAATAGAGGACCTGTAGAATTTGCAGGTACAGGGATGGTGGTGGGTTCTGGAATCGGCCTCGCTCACACTCTCCTGCTTCTATTCCATTTTGTGTAGGGAGGTGGCTGTGTGCTGGGGCAGGGAGGTAGCAAGCGGCCTTGTGATACCCCTCCTGCCCCCAAGGCCTTCCTGCCAGGCTGCTTCAGACCAAAGTACTGAGTATAAAAGAACCCAAAAGAAAAGGTTAAGTATGTTGAATTTAGGGGGTTTTGGGTTTGTGGTTGGTTTTTTTTGTTTTGTTTTAATGGAGTTACATTAGCCTACATGCATGCAGGTATGAGGAGAAAATTCAACAGTACACAATTGAATTCTCTGCTACTAACACTCGACTTTGTGAATGGAGCATGGAAGGCAAGGAGTAGCTGAACTGTGCCTAGGCTTTTGAGACTAGCTATGATGGGTTTTTATCAAAGTAGCTGCTCTGCTGGCAGGATTGCATTTCCTCTTTTGCTTGCGGGAAAAAGAGCTGTGAACAAACAGGTTTCTGCTATTTCGATGGCAGGATAGGCTATTAAAAAGGGAAAGGCAGTGCTTTCAGTTCGTGCTGACGGTGATTTTCTCCTGTGCTGTCCTCAGAGCAGCCTCCAGTAGTTGTCACACCTTGCACATAGCGATACATACCTATGGAATGCAATTCAGGGTTATTTCTTTTTTAAAAGATTGAAGAGGGGGCTTAATTTTACTGTTGCTAAGTAAGAATGTTTTCTATTACTTTAGGACCAATTACCTTCTGACTATAAAGGCTGAAGTGACAATTAAAATTTTTATTTTAAATGGAAACAATGCTTATTTCAGTGGTTTTGTTTTTTGGGTCTGTCTTCATAGGATTCCCATCTTTTTCTAATTCCTTTTGGATCTTGTAAGACACACACATGCACAAAATTACTCCCAGGGGGATAGACCAAGATATGTCAGAGGAAGTAAAAGCAAGCTAGGTGTATCAGTGTTTGCTTAGAATATTTCAAATATGCATCACTTAATACAGAAACCTTTTTTGTAAGTGTTCAAAAGGATTTCCTTTACTGTTTTTGTGTGGCTGTAAAGCTCTTTCCACTTCAGACTGGCTGAGTTATTTCTCCTTTCTTCTTGTTACAAATGGAGAACATGTATTTTTTTGTGCAGCAGAACAAAGCATCGCAGTTAGTACGTACCATTGCCTTGGACCTAGTCAGAGGAAAGCAATGCAGGCGTTGGGAAAGGAGGAAAAAGGAAGGAAGCAAGGGACAAAAACTAGACTTACTTTAAGCAGAACTAACACAATTACAACAAATTTAGATTTACAGAACATTTTGAAATTGACCAAAAAAAAAAAAAAACCACCAGTAATGAATTAACAGCAATGTGCTTTTAGGGGCAGAGAGAGTCTCCTGTGCAGTAGGTCTGTGCAGTTTTACTGGTCTGCCACACGATGGTATTATCGACAGTACTTGAATGAAGGGAGGCTCAAAGGGATTCCATTCAACGTGCAGGTGGACTGACACAGCAACACTGCAGTACGTGAGAATGACAAATTACCACACTGTGCTTCTCTGAATCGGAATGGTTTTAAGCAATGAGGGTGCTAGTACAAGTGAAGAACTTGGTAACATAAAGATAACTGAATTTCAATGCTCTAGATAAACCAGGGCAAGAATAACAAATTGGGGGCTTAACCCTCATTAGATCACAGTGTTTTGAACAAGAAGTTACTTTTCCCTTCAGCACTAAGTGGGAGTGGCATTTGGAAATAATTATACGTGTACATCCTTCCATACCTGTTAGAAAGAAACAAGGCAGGAAAAGGGAAAATGAAAAGTTTGACCGAGGTGTAGTGTCCTGGCTGAAGGAATGTCAGTAGCTAACAGAATCAGAAAAAAACCCACACCAATAAGAAGCCAGAAGCTACGCCGTGTCAGAGATCTGAGACAGGCTTAAGTGGCATGCAAGTTGGAGAGGGGCTGAGAGTTAGAATTAAAAATGCTCTTATTACATATAGTGCATTTTGTACCAGTTTTCAGCTTCAGGCTTATCCATAGTCTCAACAGTATAAAGAATGAAGCTCTGAAGTCCCTCTCAAACTGTCAAGTCAAACTGTCAAATGAAATGTAGACAACAGCATGAACCTGAAATCCATTTTCTGACTTATTTTTATTTTTATGTTACCACTTTTCCTACCTTTAAATCTTTGGCCTATTTAATTCACAGAAATGTATTTGCAAAAGCTTATATGTATGCAGTACTTTCAGATGATTAAGACAATTCTTTGTTAACATAAGTAAGTGGGCTGGACTTTGAGAGTAATTTGTAGTGATGGGGAGGGGTGGGGGTGGAAATCACTGTTATGTTACTACCGCAGATGGTTTTATTTCTCTTTTAGTAACTGCAGATACTCTGTGTGCAGCATCCATCCTTGCAGTAGACAAGAACGGGCCACAGTAAGAACAGAATGGCACTTCAAGCTCTACAGCAGTTGCATATTCTCTGCAAAAGTGACTGGTCAATTACAAGGGCAGTTCTGAGTACTGGTAACAGTAAACTCCATTCCTTCTACCATCATTCACACATCTGCATTCTAGAATTACTGTTTATGTAAGTTCAACTATAGGTCATCAGGGTTCCGTCGTATGCTTTGAAGAAAGTTCCCCCTTGGGGAACAGAAAAAACATAGCAGGGGTTAGAGATTGGGACACAATTAATGTGGTAAACATTCAATACTATGAAGAAAGTTCCTGAAATGGAGTCTGGTTTCCCAGCAAGTGTAGCGTTGAACAGAGGATGCTCAAGGCGAGGCAATACTTGATCGGGCAGAGGGGAAGAGCTGACTTACTAACTAGGTGGTCAGTATGATAAAAAATTACAGTTTTTATCATGAAAGATTTCAAATCGTTAATAAGCTTCATTTCAACTTACAACGACTTGGTGTTTACATGTTTCTGTTTGAAAGCTTGTTTTTATAGCTTAGCTAGCGCACTGTGATAGACTGGGTTGCTCTCAAGCGATGACAACACAATCCACACTACACATAAAGACTAGAATTAGAGACTATTCTAGCTTTGGTTTTGCTATTCTGGCATCACACATGCTCATAGAGCACTGTTAGGAAAATATGCAAAGTGTAATAAATATCAACGTATAAAAACATTCATTGCTCTTACCATGATGACAGAAACCCCAGCAGATGTGTTATTTTGCTTGGGTAAGGTGTTATTAAAGTGCTGCTTCAGTTTACCTGTTACTTCAGCTTGCATATTATTCTCCTGGGAAGCATCATCCTGTAAGAGGAAAAACACAATAGTCAAGTTACCAAAAAAACCCAAGAGTATGTTTGAATGTAACTGAGTAAAAGAGAAGTTTTCTGTTCTCCTCGGGTACTTCCTGCTTTCACTGCAAAGTAAGCATTCAGACAGGCAGCCCAGAAGGGAATGCGCTCTGCTACAGGAGATACGTTCTTGAAATGCGTTAAGACAAATGACAGCGGAAAGGAACGTAGCAAAGTTGTTTATGTATGAACTTCTATTTCTTAAAATGCCATGTGACACCATATACTTTCAGTCCCTTGATTTGTCCCACAATTATAAGCTGCAAGTTCAATTCAAGCATGTTAAAAATAAAAGGCATATTTGTCATTTGGCTTTCTTTTAAACTAGCATTTTAAATGGTCCATCATGTCCTAAGTGTGGAAACATTACACAGTACCATAAATATGTTTGATAGGAGCTGTTATGCGCAGACACAGTCATTAAAGTTGTCTTCTCTTGTTTGAGGGAACACCACAGATCATATGCAGTCCCTCTTTTAAAATGTGTGTGGAAATAAACATTGACTGTGGACATGTAAACCTCGTATTTATGAATAATGAACTGATTTTAAAATCAGTAAGCAATGCACGTTGGTGTTCCCCATTGCTGGTGCCCAGAAAGATGACGGACCCAGCAGCGTAGTGCCTGTGCTACATTAGGTATTATATTTGCTAATTTTATTTCTCTTAGGAAGCTTGAAGTGCTTCAAGAAACAGGAGATCGTACTTTAAGTAGCATTGCAGCAAGTAAGATGCCAACATGCACAACAGTGCTTCCACTTCATACACATTTTTTTGAGATGACTGTTTTCTAGGTTGAATATAGGTGAAATAACCAAAAAGATGCCCAAGTGACACATCTGCCTGGTGTGTTATGTTTAAGCAGGGTTATAGCAACCCCCCAGCACCTTCTGATGGCAGTCAGGAAGGGCCGCCCTCACTCTCGGCTTTCAGAGCCCAGAAGGTAACAGTGCTGTTTTAGCTTCAGCTCTAACTTCAGACTCCTGCTGTTCTCTTTTATGTGGAAAGGGGACCAGTGGTTCAATAGCCAGGAATTGGCAGAGTAGAAGTGTACCGCTGCTTCTGAAAAGTACGCTTCAATGGTTAGATTTACAGATTTAATATCAAATTAGAGACAAGGAAAATGTAATTTACTTACTGACACCCAGGGATGGCTTAGGATCTGTGCTGCTGTGTATCGGGCTTCAGCATTCACATGTAACATCAGGCTGATTAACTCCTGTATTTAAAAAAATTAAAAAAAAGTGTTTGGGGAGAGTGGGGGAGGATATTACAATGGAAATATTGTTGCACCAAGTTCTTCTCACTGCAATTTTGTTGCTACCTGGGTGAAAAGAAAACAGCTCACACTGATGCCAGAACTAGTGTGATACCAGTGTGACTTCAGCAGAACAAAAAAATTTGCCCTTTAGGTTTAAGAGTATGCTGGACAGCACATTGCATATCACCTTCCTTATTGTATTCATGTTTCACCGAGTCTGTTAAAACCAGATGAAAAGGAAATGTTAAAAATAAAAAAAAAATCAGCTCTAATGTTCCAGTTTGTTCTCTGTATATGCATGCAGGTGACCAGAAAACACAGACCTGGGACAGATGAGATGCTCTACGGGCAGCGTACATGCACATAGTAACGGTACGTAAAGAGTACAAATGAGAGGCAAGAAACTGCATCTGAAATATTCAAGAAACTGCTGAAATTATTTGAAAACTATGTTCTCTTCTGTGTTGCTCCAGAAGAATAAAAGAAAGACATTTAACTCATTTCATCAGCTAAGGGTCACCTGGTATAGGAAAAAGCAGATAGATAGAAAAATGCTTAATTCTACTAATTATATTAAATTAAAGAGTTGGTATTGTGGCTTTCATCATATTTTAGAGGCACTAGAGCAGATGTCTTTAGCTTTATCAAATACTTCCATGGGCTTTCCATTAATGGTGCATACAGATATGAGAAACTTTAAGAGGTCATTGATACAAAGCAGTCAGTAAAATAAACATATAAAAAAACCCCAAACCAAAACCTCAAACTTCATTTAGGTTTCTTATGCAACTAAGAACTAGTTTAAAAGTGTAATTCTTGGTTCTACAAGCCCATGAAGACAACTCTGTCCCCCTCCCAAATGAACAACTTCATGTATTTGGAGCCAAACCTCCCCTCGAAAAACCTTTTATAGCCTCCAAACTGTCAGTCTTCCTATTGACTATTTGAAGGAGATGGTTCATCACTTCACTTTTGGGAAATGGCTTCTTCAAGCCAATAATACCATACCTAACAGAGAGGTTTCCCAACCAGCCAAGTTATTTACTCTGTGTAAGTCTGAGGGGAAAGGTCACCTTTAGTACCGAGATTGAGGGCCTTGTTTGTTCAGAATGCATGTCTGGAAGAGTGAGAGATGCCTGGAGCTTGGGAAGTGCTGGCAAACGGATAAACAGCCCTTGGGAAATGCAGAAACAAATGCAACTTCTCAGTCACTGGATAACAAATAATCTCCACTTGTTAATTAGAGTCCTCAGCACTCAAAGCACTGAATTAGCTTGAGAAGTAAGGCTTAAAAGTTGGAACCTTTATCCTAGAGACACAATCGTTTTTAAACACAAATGGTAATGATAACACGAGAACTATTCGCAATGGCAAATCAAGCTGGCTGCACCTCTTGAAAGGTTCTAATAACTGGCTCAAGTAAAATAGGAACAAATGATGTCAATTGCATTCAGTCCACATATAGCAATTTTTTTCTTTTTTAAAGAACGATAGGAAAATTCAGCGAGGCGCTTATTTTAGAGCTGAAGCACTGAACCTGCTATAATAGTCCATCATTCAAGTAAACTGAATAGCCTGTGCTGCTCAGTGAATGCAGCTGGCTTTCTGCTACACTTACCCAGACAGCAAGTCTGCTTTCATCAAGCACTGTTAAGCTAGCGAACTCAAAAGGCACAGCAGCTGGAAGAGGGGTATGAGTCTGCTTCTGAATCTTCTGTTTTGCCTTTCCAACAGAGCACAGTCTTTTTACTGGCTTTCGGAACAGTATTTCAGGTTGGAAAACTTATCAGTACCTTTGCTGAATCGGTGATGTTATCCCAGTAGGGAGAAGGAAATTCCAGCTTCCCAACGAGTATCTGATCGAAGAGATCTTCCTGAAGGTTGTTTTCACTGGAGAACAGCAGTAATGAAAAAGATCATGAGAAAGAAGTCAATTTGTCATGTAAATTTTTAACTTGACTTGGGGATGGAACAGAAATGATGTTGCATCAACTGCTATAAACACAGCATTTGCAAGCTGCATAGTGGCAGCACTTCTGAGGTGTTTGCCATAGTTACGCTGCCGGGAGCGATAAGAACAGAAAAGCTAATATACTGAGGCAAAAAATATATATTGAGGTGAAAGGACTTCCACTGGAATAGAGACTGCATAGCTAACATGCAGGAACAGGAAAGGTGATTAAAAAAAACTCAGTCAGTCACTTGCCAGCCTAATTCTAAAAGATCTGCTGCTGAAAGCATGGGACAGGGGGAGAAGTGCAGTGACATGGGCCTCCTCTGTTGAGCTATCAGCACCACAGGAGAATTTTCAAAATCCAAAGAGGAGATATGGAAAAACACATGATACGTGTAGGTTACTCAGTATTAGCAGGCTACTGATATTGAATGGATTTGTACCAAAAACTTGGTATCATCATCAATACTCAGGGATCAAGGGCAGTGGGCTTTTTGGGTTTTAGCTTCTGTTTGTTGGCCTTAGCCATCGTGAACATCCACCCACCCTAGTTCTGTAATGAACAATTCACCTCTTGGGTTGGTTTTACAAGAAATATTTATTAACCTTGGTTAAGACCTGATTCTAATAGCACAGTATGGACATTCTCCGTGCCCACCCTCCCCCCAAACGCTCTTCAAAGCAACTGCCATTTGTCTGTATAATATATCTTTCAAAACCTGTTTTCAGTTTTAAACATGAACTAACCACATGCAAAACCCAAATACCTACACTAAATGATAATTTTTCCATTGACAATTGTTTACATTGTATTCTTCGCAAGATATTCAGTCGCGTGATTTTTAGTTAAAAACTAAGTACGTTGCTGTCAAAATGGACAGACTGTGCACAAATAACTTGTAAGTTAAGAGGAGAATTCCCTATTAAAATATGCCAATTCCTTCTCAGATCCTGGCAAAAAAATTGCCGAGGCACAAAGCGTACCCATTTGATTTTCAATAGAACTCGTACGTACTGTGACACTGAGTAGCAAAAACCCCATTTGCAATCTCCATCGCTCATATGACGCTAACCAAAAAGACTGACAAGGTGAAAAACGCCACAGAAGCCAATGCTGCCCCTCTCCTCGTTTACCACTCACCTCACCCTCAGCCCTGCCCCACCAGTGAGCTGCCGTGGCCGAAGAGCATCCCTAGAGCGCAAAGCAGCCCCGTGCAGTGCCCTGGGACAGCCCCGCAGCCAAAAAGAAAAGGAATTATGCCCTCCCACCGCCCTGTCCCTGCACACAGCCGTACACCAGTGTCTCCCTTCTTAGATAAAGAAGTAAATAAAATTGATGCTAAAGCCCGACAAGAGGGAGAAGTGAGAACAACTAAAGAACAAAAAGGTAAAGAAAATGTGTCAATGCCTAATTGTTCTGTTGTTGTTGTTGTTTTCCCCCAGGACACCTTCTTCAGGGAGATGGGTAAGACTTGCTCAGAAAGAACTTGGTTCTTTACTGCTTTTCCCTTTTTGACATACAGGGACACTCACCTGCGAAAAGGTGGAAATCCACATAACAGTATGTATGTGATCACACCTGCAGCCCAAATATCCACCTTTAAGCCATATCTGCAAAAAGAAGACTGGGTTACTTGTGCTGGATTGAAAAAAAAAAGGTCATTCCAATCAAATAATTGATTACATTTACATGAATATATATTGAGAATCTGTTCTGTGTCACTTGCTGATGATGTGGAAATGTATTTTGTACCTAAGCGTCATTTTACTTGGCATCCTTCACAGTCTTTAGGAAAGCGTGATAACATCATTTTTCATTGCAGTGGGGTTTTTTTTTTTTGTAAGCCTCAAGGCTCTCTGGGGTCTTCTGAATATACTCAGATTCAATTCAGTATCAAGGTTTCCCAATCCAGAATCTCAATGATAAAAGACAAGGATGTGCTTTCTCAGTCCCCATATTGGAGGAACTATCTCTAAGGTTATCCTGTGTTGCTAAGCAACAAGACAGACACCAATTCTCCAGTCTCTTGAGTAACACAGGGAAAAAGAACTGCACTTTTCTTTTACAGCACAGAAATTAAAACACTAGAGGTCAAAAAAGAGGGCCTTTCCCCTATTCTTTTAGAATCAGAGAATCATTACGGTTGGAAGAGACCTCAAAGATCATCAAGTCCAACCGTAAATTTTAGATTCAGTCTGTCAAAAATCTAACACATGCAGATGAAGTGCCCTTTGAGCTCCCTGCAGCTGCGAAGTATTTCTCAATAAGACAAATGCACTGAACACTGCTTGAAACAATACAACAAACCTCCCTCCGAGGGGATGACCAAATTCAGAATGGTCACAGCTATGGCAAGAGTCAGCTAGCATGGAATGGAGGTCTAATAGGTCTAAAAGGAAAGACGACTTGTGAAATTCAGCCATTTTACCACGTTATTTTGTATTTATGCAGCCACCTAGTAAAATACAGAACAATGGGGTTGTTTAATTAAACCACCAGTTATCAAATAGCATGCGTCACCCAAACAAGGTCACTTGAATCAACATAATCTAATTAGACCTGCTCCGAGAACAGGTTTGGACTAGGTGACCTCTGGAGTCTCTTCCAATATGAATTACTCCATTTCTAACACAAACACTCTGTTTTGCTTGTCCGTTTTTTCCCCGAGCAGCAGCCATGGCAGGTACAACGGGCTGTGAATGGTGAGGTGAGGCAGGGAACAAAAACCAGTAAACTCCACTGCACCAGCGCTGGTCCTCGGGTGATGGCACGGAGGCAAAGGTGAATTCTGGGAGCAGGGTGAGGGAGGAAACTGGCCTCTTTGAGGAACCGAATGGTGCCTGTTTTCTCATGGGTGGGTTGGTTACAAAAAGACGGAGAACCATCCTACGAGAGCAGTCTAGTTCTTACAACAGTTAAGAGCTACCTGCCAGAAATAATGGGTCACAAGACGTCACCTACGTCTTAGCCAGTCATCCTCACCCTGTCTCTGCAATGATTTCTGGAGCCACGTATGTGGGTGTACCACAGACGGTATACAAAGGGCCTTCAACCACAGTCGCCAGTCCAAAGTCTCCTAGCTTCAAAGACTTGGTTCCATCTGGATATTCACATACCTAGAATCAGCAAAATCAAAACAGAATAAGGAGGAGACCATCCACATTTTTTTAAAATCCTTTCTGTGGAAAATAATTATCATCACACCAAGAAGACAGAAAAATGAGGGAACTTGCACAGCCCTGTAGGGAAGGAAGAGAAAATGGTATGACCACTGATTGCCACAGCGCGGCTGGAGCTAGTATTCAGTGGAGCTGTCTGCCAGCTATGTAGGTCGGACCATGATATAGCCTCAAGCACCTAGAGGGGGGGAAAAGAAAACCCAGTCCTAGCGTGCTGAGAAGTTTTAAATATTTTAAGAAAAATATAATACTATACTTCCATTTGATTGGGACCTAGCATTTAAAATGGGATTGGCAGCTACAATCAGATTTGTTTAGCATCTCTCACTAACTTGGCATAAATCTAGTCAGTCAGCGTACCGGAGATTCCATAGACAAATGTCTTCCCTAAGCTTAGTCTAGGCAAGTTCAGTACAGAAGTGAGAACGCTGCCCGAGAAGTGTTTAGGTTTCTGTGCAGACCCAAGTGCATCTGACCAAAAGGCCCATAAAGAACCTAGCACATCTTGTTCTGAGTCATGTTGTTGATGAAAGAAGCTAAATTTTAATAGCAAAAAAAGTGTTATAGGACAGTGATGGCAAGAGTAAATCAAACCAGACCAACAGCAAGGGAAACATCCCTAATTAAGAACAAAACTGAGCTTAATTGAAGTAAAATGTTTATGTTAACATGATTTCGATGGGATCTAGTTTCTAGAATGCAGGACTCCAGAATGGCTGAATTTATTTGGTTTCCTCAAACAACCAAATGGTGCTACGGCAGCCTTTGTTCCCCTGTGTAATTCATATCGTTAATGGAAACACTTGTTCTCCTTGATACAACACCTTCATAGCTGCTATTACTCTTAGAGTTTCTATTTTTAAATGTGTGACTAGTAAAGAGGATGTAATTCAGACAGCTGGATGACCCTGTGCAAAAGAACTAACTACTTGCAATTATAGGTAGCAATTGACGGGAATTATTTGCATTTACATTCAATACCAGTATGTTATCTTAACATTCTGCCACTGTCAATCACAGTGAGTAAGATTTGCATCTGGTGAGTAATCTCGTCAGGCTTTCTAGGCAGAAAGGACATTTGTGGCTATTTATAACTGATTCAATCACTGATGAGAGCTTAAAATTTCCTTGGCCTGGCTGTGTTTGAAGATGCACTGATAGTAAGTGAGACTTCCACCTTCATTTTCTTTCTCTTAAATAAGTGCCATGTTGCTGGGACTACATTTTCCAGGAGAAGTCTCCCTTCCCTTCCTTTCCTTTTGCTAAACAATCAAATTTATTTGAGGGCTTATTTAAATTGCTAAACACTGCCAGTGGAATTAGTTGCGAAAGAATTAACTATTAATTGGAAAATATTTTCAGCTTATCCTTGTACTAGCTCAAAATCTGGCCTGGGATAAGCCCTGACTCCTACTCTAGATGCAACCTCATTAAACAGGATTGACAAACACCACAGGCGGCTTTAAGAAATGCCTACTAAGTGTTGAGGAAAGCTACCAGCATTCCCAAGGACAGTGCCTCAAGCAGGGGGGATTACGGCCCTGTTCAGTGCACGGCACGCAATATCTAATACCCCCTCAGGAATACGTAAGTGTAACCTATGTGCATAAGCAAGGGAGCACGCTGGTCCCATTCTGCGAACCGTAGTCCAAGCAGTTCCCAAAGCAGACTTCATGGTAAGTCCTGTCAACACAGTTATTTTATGTCTCTGCTGAAAACCAAAGTAGGCAGTCCCCTAGGACAAAATAAACGTATGTATGGAGTTAATTCATGGCTAGAACACTGGTAAATCATCAGAAAGATGTTCCTGCTATGACAGTGAAAGAAAAAAAAAATAAAATTGCTTGACATAACCATATGATCCTTCAAAGAAATGGCACTCAGCCCACCTTTTCTCCCACTTGCAAACTAGAATAAATAATTCATCGACATAGCTTTAAAATCCCTTGTTCCGTGAGACAATACTCCTGTTTACCCAAATGGCAGTCAATCAAAATGTAAATAAAGACAGGTCTAAGGACAGGCTTGAGCACAGCTCACTTGGGTTACCGTGATTGCTATCTCATGGCAGAAGATTTATTTCATACATAGTTATTCTAAATTAGTATTCTTGCTGTTCTCTGCTCAGCTCCTTGACATTTATAGACAAGCATGTGCATTAATGAGAACAAAGTAAGAGAAAATATTAGAAAATAAAGGGGACATACCAGGAGGTTTTCTGGCTTGATGTCTCTGTGCACAATGTTGAGCCCATGAAGGTATTTGAGTGCACTGGCTAGATTGTAGACCATTGCACTCCCATCTCGCTCCGTATATTTTGTAGAAGAAGTGATGGCATCGAATAGATCTCCTCCCTAAAGTAATAGAAAGATAATAGATCACTACATGAAAAATAAAATTAAGATGATGATATGTCATAAAAAAGCCACATAAAATCTTCCTTTACAAAAGGCACGCTCAAATGCCTGTTAAAGAGTACAAAAATTATTTTGCAGAAAGACGATCTAGACTGGGACTTGGGTTATCTATGTCAAATTCTCAACTGTACTCCAGGCTTCTGGTGTCTGCGTTTGGGCAAATCACAGCTCTTCTCTGTCTTGATTTCATTCCCTTGATCTTCCTACCTTTCATCACTTACTTATCTTACCTACAGGTATAGGCATACCGTCTCCCTTTTCTTCACCTTATCAATATATTACCTTTACTTAGCAAAAAACAGTCGATTTTAAGTAAAGCCTAAAGTAATACAAATTAACCCAATAATAAAAAAACCTACATAACAAATATTCAGCAACTGTAATGAACTGCAAATTGGAATTTCTGTAGATATTGCAGAAATACCCAATAAATACAGCTGAAGGGGACAAACAACATCACAAGCGTGATTTTTTCCAACCTAAATGATTCTACGAGACACCAAAGTGCAGAGCCTACAGATGATTTCTGAACGTGCCGGTTGTGCAGTCTCTGATTACAGATGCCCTGTTGCTCTTGGAAAACATAACACCATGTACGCGAGTTACTGGTGCAGCGTTTCCAGCCATCGCAACAAAGTTGGGGTGGGTGTCTCTGTGATGGTTGCCCTGGATACCTCTGTAGGAGTGAGCTGTCTGAACTCTGGGTGGCATTCCAAGCATTTCCATACATGTGGAAGAGAAGCAGCAGTTCAGGAAATACAGGCCAAAATAGTGGTGTATTAAAATATATTAAAAAAAATACAGTCTTAAACCCAAAAAAGCCTCTACTATACAAAAATAACTTCTAGAAAGGAAGAGAAATGGGTAGGCTACGGAAATTATGAATTCAACAGCTCCAGACTTTCTTTAGAGGTTTCCCAGGCTGGCAACCGTTCTAGAGAGGACTCTTGAATCTAACAGTGTTTCAGACAGAAATAAAAAGTGATGATAGTGATGTACATTATTTGTATCTGACATGCCAATCAAGCTGCGTATGTACAGAACACAGGCAAGAGAGTGCTTGACTAAAACTTGATGCCAGTCGTGTATTTGGTTCACAAGGTGACAGCGAAATGAAGATTTTTGTTTTCTCTCTACATGTATGAAAGCAGCATCTATTTTTCTGGTGAACTGGGAATAAGGTGAGTGAATGTTTGATACAAGCAAAAGAGGTGAGATTTTTTGAGTCTGAATTTTGCTGGACCATAATCACTTGAGTTTAAACTATTCGTTGCATCTATTGTCTACTAAGATAAAGTCATTAAAGAGAGTTTGTTTCTTTAAAGTAAATTATTAAATACAGATATTAGTGACATAAATGCAGGTGGTCTGTCAGTAAATGCCTATCACTATTACTCCCTCATATTGTAAACATGATATAAAAACCACTATCCACATTGCAAAATTGCCTCATATCTGTGTAAATAGTCTAATTACAACTGAAGAGACATAAATTCCATTAATATAATTGATTGACAAGAGTATTTGCATGATTAAAAATGCAGGTTGCCACTGAAATCTTAACTGATTATGTCTCCCAAGAGCTTAATGTTCCTAGATACTTCTCAGATTTCACATCAACACAGAGAATTAAAAAAAGTCTCCTTAGTCTTACCTTGACGAGTTCCATCACCAGGTACAGTTCTGATGGGGTGTCCATCTCCTCTATAAGCATAATGATATTTGGATGCTTCACTCGGCGCAGAATAGACACTTCATTTTCAATCAGGTGTTCCTGTTCAGAAAAGAGATGGAAGTTTATCTGAACAGACACGAAATTGCCAATTCACTTCTCCTTTCATCAGCTGCCCACCGATTACTTGATCAGCGAGCACCTTGTTTGCTGGTTAATTTATATAGTAGAGGGTTATTGTCAGATGCTGGATTTTAACTTGTATTTTAGACCAACTGTACTTCATCATTGACCCAATTTAATTTAAAATACCATATTTCACACACTTAACCCATGGGATCTCTCTGAAAAAAAGGCTCCGGAACATGACGGCAATTGAGGAAGTGCAGATTATATTCTTATGTGGGTATTATGAGGTGAAATTAAGTTCAGAGCCTCCCCCACCGTTGTAACCTGCCACCCCCCATCAATAGTTAACGCGTTCTTGATCCTCTCCAGCCTTCACCTCTCATTTAGCGTAGGTTACTCAAGGACAGATTACCTAGGATTTATTTTCAAGGACTTTATTTTTATAAAAATTGTGGATTATATACAGGAAAAAAAATATTACAACTGCTTTGGTTATGGATTTCAGTTCATTTTATATGTATGTTCAGATTTACAATCTGCAAAATACGTAATAGCTCAGTTGAGTCGTCGTGGCTCCAAGAGCTTAGCAGCACACAGACCGAGTTGAATTTCCCCTTCCCTATACTTCTGAGGAAGGAACGGGTCTCACAAACAAACGAGTTTCAGAATGTGGTGTTTTCTGGAACATCCTAGCACTTGGTTAACACCGGAGAGCAAAGAAAATTACAGGCCCCTTTCATGTGAAGAATGATTTTCATTTCCCTTTATAAATCTTCGAATACAGATACTGTATTTAGGTTCACTGCAAAAGTAACAATGCTCGTCACATAAAACACTAGTTTCCTTACACTTTGGCGGATAACAAATCACGTCACTGGACTTGGAACTTATTTGTGTTTAACGCACTGATTCGTAGCATGCACTTCATGCATTTGTGAGCAGAGCACTAGAAGTAGATGTGATCCGCTGTGCATAGGCAGTGACTGAAGATCTCACGCTACTTCACCTTCTATTTCCAGGGCTGTTTACGGATGCATTGTGTTTTTGCCAAAGCTTTATGTGCCTATGGAACTCAGAAACCACATGCCGGGTGTGCACCTCGCTTTGTGAGAGCATGGTGTGGCATATATGGGTTAAAGAGTCACACCTCTCAAATTCAGTTTGAAAGAGCATCAATTGTCATTCTGAACAAACATATGTCGGCTCCAAGCAAAGTGCTCTGGAGGGAAAGAAACAAACAAACATGAAGCAATTTTGTTAAACACAATGCTCAATCTCATCAACAGAGAAAAGTGAACAGCCACAGCATACTAAGCCTTATGGGTGGAAGCCTGTAAATTCAAAGCTAGCATTAAGAGTCCAAGCAAAAACCAGAATCTTATTATAGCTTTGTCTACCTACAGAACAGATAACACATTAAATTTATTACATCCATTAATTATGACTAAGGCACAACAGCTTTACCTGTGCTTGCTTTGTTTTGCTTGACTAAATTGTTAATTGCTTTGAACAAAGCCCAGGCATAAGTAATGTTTATTTAAAATAAACAATGATAATTTTTTTAAAAGGCTCCAAAATGTTGTTGAGCCACTGTTTTAATACCTGTCTTCAAAATGCTGACTAATATGTAACTAGTTATTTTCAACCACCCCACTGTTACGGCTATATTTTGCGATGTAAAAAAAAAAAAAATTCTCAAACTTGTTATAACATTCTCCTGGATAGTGCAATACAGATTTCAGTCTACGTTAATATGATTTATTTACAGAAAAATTGTTGTATAATTAACATGTAAGCTGATTGTGGAAAATACATTAATTGATTGGCTTCAAGTTGTAGGACACCCAAGATGAACTGCTAGAGAGCGGCGAGCAACATACAACTCGTGCAGATTTGGGCCAGATGAGTGTTTTTAAGGCAGGACTTATGTTGGCATGTGCAATGGAGTGAAGGAGGAGTAAGCTGTAGCAAAATTTAATTCCTTTGTTGGAATTCTTCCTGGACAGTTCTGCCACTGTCTGTTACAGGTACAAACATCTTCCTAACAGCAGTCCTCTGCCTGTACCTACACCTACACCTGTATGTGGCCACACAGACACAGGTCCTTTCAACACAGACAAGTATGCGTCCATGGGGTGGGTGGGGGGGTTTATTTGTTTGTTTTAAAGCAAGGAGAACGATAAATAGAAAATATGTCTAAAGTCTCTCGATAAAATGCATTGTCTATCTCTAGACCATTCCAATTTATGATACCTAAGCAGCTGACTCAGATGAAGTTGCAAGTACACATCACCCGAAAGTTCTCTTTTGCAGCGAAACACGCTGGATCGCCCTTTTCACAGCTGAAGAAATGGCAATATTTTAATCTCAAAAAGGCAATTCTAACGTTTTTTCTTCTGGTTGTAAATTTTTAAGATTCCTTTCTAAATTTTCCCTTAAATAAACCTAAAGAATATGAGATAAAGCAATGGGGAGGGGGGAACACTCACCTCCTAGCACTAATACACCATTTAAAATCTGCACAGATAAAACATTTTTGTTTGAGGACCTCTACTCCAAGTCATCACAGCAGGTAAACTCGTTACTGTACAGAACTATTCGGCTCCTTACCACCCCAAGAACGTCATACAGACTTGCTGCATTTTCCTACAAGGTCACATTCAGCATATGGAGCCCTAATTACACTTCAGAGCCATTACTCCATGCAATTGCCAAAAAGAGTACCTTGCGATTAAAACCCTGACTTGGTTGCAAAGTTACCTCCAGAATCATTTCAGTGCAAACATTTACATAAAAAAATGAGGTGTCTGCATCCAAAAGTCCATCTTTTCAGTCATCCTTGAGAGAACGGCATATTTCCTACATGCAGAGAAACTTTAATCCAGAACTTGATTGCTAATTAATACTGTGCCCTCAGCGTTCTTTTAGCTAACACTAAACTGTGATCCATCTGACTCATAAGTTCCTCAAAAGCACTTTGTTTTTAAGGTATTGCAAAGCAGTGACAATAGAAGCATTTTATTTGTTGTTATCTATTCCAACGCTTAGTCTACGTTCGTGGCTGTAGGTGGGGGTTTTTTCTTCCTTTTTTAAAATCTCTGTACTTGGGAGGAAGGTGAAGAAGAGGTCTGACACTCTCAGATATTTCCTTCGATTATGTACCACACTGTTCTGCTGGAGAGAAAATTTTGGACTTTTTTTTTTTTGAGCTAGAATTAAAAAGAAAGATTAAGGGACTCTTTTGTTAAGAGATCTTTGTTATATAGGATGGTGAAACGACAAACAGAAAGAAATGATTGTGAAAATTTCTTTCCAAATCCATGTTCTGCATATAAAAGGAGCATGTACAGCCATAAAAAGATAAAAATAAGATGCAGAGAGGGATGGAAATTCTATAAATACATATGTAGCTGCAAATTTCCTCTCTCATATTTTATAGATCAAAATCTTTTTAATACATTTTGGACACGTATTAGCATTTTCTTCGTTAGTCCAATAAAACAGATGACAATTTGTTTGGCTTTTACTCTATTAACTAGTAGGTTAACGCCCACTACTTTTATTACTTGCTTCTTCAATACATTATCATCCTGTTAAACAAATAGTCAGAAAATAGTCAGAAAACCCAAACACGCCCACCGTTTATGAGTAATGAGCAGCTGCCAGCGCTGTTTCTGCTATTTTTCTTATACATGCAAATTGTCGTACGCTACCTTTCCACAGCATTTCGCCTTGTCTATGATCTTCAGCGCAAACTCCTTTCCTGTGGATCTAGCAAGAAAAATATGAGAACCATTAATTAGAAACCAGTCAACAAATTGTGGCATTATCTGTAAGAATATGCATCATCGTAACAGAATGCCTTGACCCATGGAGGTTGCCGACAGAAAATTCACACAACGGGCTTGATTTTGGTTTTTGTTTTCTGAGCAGCATTTGCGCCTGCTGTTTCCCTGACTACCACAACCTAGCTCGCTTTCTGTAGTAATCCCAGGCTCCAGCTGCAATTCATTCTTCTGTGACCTGGCACAACTCTCTCTCGCTTCGTTAATGCAACACGCAAAATTTGTCTTGAGCCTTCCACTTCGCTTTGTTCAACTGGTGGGCTTTAAAAATAAAAATCATACACATTTATGTGTAAGCAAGCGGAAGGAAGACTGATGTCCTAGTGGAAAAATTCAGTAGGATTCAGCAGAGCTAAAAACCCATAGTTCATTACAGACAAGTCTAAAATCCCGCAGAATTTATTAGGCACTAATTTTGACCTTTTGTATTTCATTCCTTCTGTTGTTTGTTGGGTTTTTTTTAGTATTCTATGGAATTGTATAGCAGTCATCCAAAGTCCCATGACATTTAAGAGGGTGGTTATATACAAAGTAAAAAGGATTACTGTTTTCAGTAAATACTCTCAAAGAAAGGAGTTCTTGTTTGCCTTTTGTCCCTTTAAGCAATAAAAATCTTCTCCATTTCTCCAGAGAAATGAGAGAAAAAAAGCCACACAAATGAATTATCCTTTTTGTGGGGGGGGGTAAACAAAGACGACATTACTACTCATATTAATGATGAGTTAAAAATCACAAGGAAATGCCGTAAGACCCTGTTGCTACTGTTTTGTGTTGTGTCAGTACCTGGAGTACTGACAGTAAAAACACTGCAGGTAGTTACAAAAGCAAAAGTCAGGCGTGTGTTCAGACTCCCAGGTTAATTTTCACTATACTTTTGGCATTAGATGTAACTAATCAAAACCAGTACCTCACCAAAAAAGGAACTGAATTAATATCTCACATTTGATTTATCCATTACTGAAAAAAAGCAGTAGAGACTCTCTGCTCTGAAATAGCTGTATCTGCGAGGTTGTCATAGTTACAACCTGATCTGGTCTGTAGATAGAAGCGTTCTCTCACTGGTAGCTGTGAAATGCCATCCTCTCATGTTACGGACCTGATGTAAAATCTACTATGAATACAGTGTGTAATTCAGAACCACAATTTATGCTCTACACTAAATTAAGTGCATTATCTGAAAGCCTGCAAACAACTGATCAGCAAATCCCACTTAGCAAACCTTTGGCACTTACACTGTGTAAGAGGAGTTAACATTCACAAAGCCAATTATTCATCAACCAACTTCAAATCCCTCTTGCAAATGTCTTTTACTATTGCACCTAAGAAAAAACTCCTCAATATCATCCACGTAATTTGTGTGCTAATACCACTGCCTATCATACACCAGGATTGTCTGACAGGTTTCTGGTATTCTTCTGTCTAGTTGTCGGTGTCCATCTGTTGACTCGTGTCTCTATATGGAGACATACAGGCACCCTTTACAAAAGAGACCATCCTATTATTTTTGTAGACCAGCTGGTATAATAGGATCCTGGCTCCACACCTAAAGGCTCCTAAGCACACTGCTATTGGAACTGAAGTATAATAATTAATAGGAATTAGAAGACAAGCATTTAGAGTTGGCATTTCCTCTCTCGTTGTCATTATTAGCAACTATTGTTGTATATTTATTTTCTCTAAAATTCATTTAATAATGCTGCACTAAATACAAAGATTGGATCACATACAAAACTAGATTTTTAAGTTTGATTTTGTTTGTTGTGGGTTTTTTTAAATAATTGGAAGGTTGTTTTTTTAGTCCGGTCCCCTCATTCCAAAAAGCACAGATGACATTTTGAAACCCAAGTGACTTAGCAGCCCTTGTCCCATTTTCAGTGGAACTTAAGTGATTTCCAAAATGCACAGTCAATATTCCTGAAAAGAATAAATTATGTTATCTTATGCTTTTAATCTGTTATCAAATGTTGTTCACTCTATCGATAACAAAGGATGCGTGGCCAGTCTCAGGGTGCATGGGAAAACCCTGTGAAGCACCATCCATTTGGTGTCTGTGCCAAAACTTTGGGTTTTGAAACCACGGAAGCGCCTTTGAGAGACAAGGTATGCTGGGGCCCGACGGGAGCCACCTGTCCCGATGGGGAAAATGCATCTTTGGGTGTAAGCTGGCGGGACTGATCATAGAATCATAGAATCGTTATGGTTGGAAGAGACCTCAAAGATCACCAACTCCAACCGTATACCTGATGCCACCATACCCACTAAACCATGTCTTGAAGCGCCACATCTAAACGTTTTTTGAACATCTCCAGGGATGGTGACTCCACCACCTCCCTGGGGAGCCCGTTCCAATGCCTAACGACTCTTACAGTGAAGACTGAGATCAAGAGGGCTTTAAACTAGAATCGATGGGGGAAGGGGATACCAACAGCACTGCAGTAGGTAAGGGTTGGCACGGCATCGCCGGAGGGTGGCAATGCTAGTGGGAACATTTACACTGCTCCTGGGAGCACAGAGGGCTCAGGACCGTATCTGAAATGCTGGTATGCTAATGCACGCGGTGTGAGAAACAAACGATGAATGGAAAGCGCTGGTCAGCTCCCAGAGCTACCGTATCATCGGTATTAGTGGGATTTGGTGGAATGAGTCCCATGATTGGCGTGCTGGGACGGAGGGCTACGGGCTGTGCTCGGGAGGGACTGGCAGGACTGGAGAGATGAAGGTGTCGCGCTATACGTAAGGGAGAGGTTGGATTGTACAGCCCTTACAGTTAGTGATGACGTGGTTGGGAGCCTCTGGGTGAGGATTAGGGGGATGGAAAACAAAGGAGATCTTGTAGTGGGCGTCCACTACCCAGCCAGGATGTGCACTGATGAGTTATTCTATAGGCAATCAGGAGAAATCTCTGGATCAGTAGCCCCTGTCCTTATGGGAGATTTCAACTTCCCAGACATTAACTGGGAATATCATACTGCTGTCATGAGCACATCTGGGAAATTCTTAAAGCTTCTAGGAGATAACTCCTTGTCACAGGTCCTCAGTAAGCCAACTAGGAAAGATGCCCTGCTAGGCTTGCTATTCGTGCATAGAGGGGGCTGGCAGGCCTGCCCTGTGTGGGGCGGCTGAGGACTTTGGGCTTGTCTAATTTGGAGAAAAGGAGGCTGAGAGGTGACCTCTTTGTCCTCTACAGCTTCCTGAGGAGGGGACGTGGAGATGGAAGTGCTGACCTCTTCTCGCTGGGGTTCAGGAACAGGACACATGGGAATGGCTCAAAGCTGCGTCTCTCAGGGGAGGTTTAGACAGGTCGTTAGGAAGCTTTTCTTTACCCAGGGGGTCGTCAAACCCTGGCACAGGCTTCCTAGAGAGGTGGTCGATGCTCTATAAAACTTGCATGCTTGTACATCACTTTCTCAAAAAAGTATGAAAAATAACAATTGTCATTTGCTGCTATAAACCAGAAGGGCGTATTAGACATTGTGTTACATACCACCTGCCAATATTATTCTCAGTAATGGACAGAAATAATCCAGATACAGTATCAAGAAACAATTCTCTTCAGAAAAAGCAATAATGGCTGCAGAACCCTACGTTTCAGTAGAGAAGGCCCCAGGTTCAGCCTCAGTACCCAACCCTTTTGGCCCGTTTGATGACTCGGCAAAAGTATCTATCTATGCATCCTTGATCTGCTAAGGCTGGAATGAGATGTTTCCATTCATAATTATCTTTCTTTTCATTTAAATAAAACCAGCAGATGAGGATGAAATAATAGAAACTGTTTCTGTAACTTTTGTCGGTTTTACAGACATTTGCTGAATTTACCCAGTATTTGCACACAAGTTGGGGATTCCTCATAATATTTAAGAAGCTGACATAACTCTGAGATTGATGAAGATAGCAGAAGGTGGTTCTAAAAAATACACTGAGAAAGTGACAGTCAAGTCATCTGTTATGTTTGCGCTAGCAGCAAAGTGTGACACAAAGCTCGCAGAGGAAGAGCAGTAACACAGCACAGGTCTGTAAAGGTACCCTGCCTACCCATGGGAAACCAGGCGAGAGAATATTTTAGAATCTGGAATACTGAAGGGCTGATTTGAAAAGCCTCTGGCTAATCACTGGACTACCTCACAGGAGCAACAAGCACAAGGGAGTCCGTAGCACAGGCTAACAGCCATCAGCTGCGTGCCTTTAAGAACACTTTGCCCACAGTAGACTGAAAGCTGTGAAAAACCGTTTGAGCAGCAGACAGTAGGGATACTATAAGCAGCAGAATTGCTGAGGCAGAAGGGGGAGTCTCTCAAAGACTGTTTAGATGCCACATAGAATTTCCTGCCATCCAAAAAGTTCTGTTGTGTGAGGGGACTTCTTGAAGATCTGTGGGGTTTCCTGAAGAGCATCCATTAGAAGGCGATACCTCCTTTAGATTTTGGAATAAAAAGCCATGTTCCTCTGCTGCTCTCATATCCCTTTGCTGGAATAATACGTAGGAAGCTCTGTGTGTTTTGCTACGCTAAGTTCTCCTGAAGCGTAGGCATATCTTTGCAACTGGTCTTTCCTTTCATCTCATCACATTTGCTATGAAATTATGCTAATACACAGGGCTTTATCCAGTAAAATAAACAGCAGTACCGAATAGTTTCCTTGCTCACCGTTCTATGCACTCCTTTACAACAGCAAAATTGCCATCACCAATCACCTTCCCCACTTTATACTTCTCAAGAATGGTAGAGGACCCTGAGCACTTGTTTCCATTCACACCTGCAAAAAAGCAAGGTTGATAATGCAAGCTGAAGAGAAGTGTCAGCAGGATATAAGATATCCCCAATGGGTTCCACGGACACAGAACAGTCACAAATGCAAAATAAAACTTAAAAGCAAGCTGTTTTCTTCACAGCTTATTCCCTTGTTTTTATCTCAGGCACAAGAAAGAACAAGATAAAGCTAACAAGAGTTGTTTGACCTTTTAACATGCGAATCAAATATTACTGTGGTTTTGTGTGGACATAATCCACATAACAAATGCAGTTAGAAGTCCTTAGTTTAAATATTTTCTGAACTCAAAATACTTTTTTCTGAAGTATCTTTTTGCATACTCAAAGCAAAAACGCAAGTAAGACTCATCTACAATGCATGTAAAAGAACTAAAAGTTTTATCTGCTGAATTTCTTCAAGTTCCCTTAGCTGCTGCTGAAACATCCAAAATGCAAATAAGTTTGATAGCTGCTTATTTCAGTATTTTTAAATTAAAAAATTGACTCTAAAATGAAATTTAAAAAAAATTGAAAAAATAACATTGCTTTAAAGAGATAAGGAGTGAAAGGTTAAATTTAGCTAAGGTCAGTTGATGGGCTAATGGTTCTACCTGAAGCACAATGTGCTGTTTTGAGGACGGCTGCACTTTCAATCCAGCCACAAACACATTTCTGGTGATACTCTGCAGCTCATGTTCAAAATCACTCAAATTCCTAATAGTGACTATTGAACAGCACGGTCCACCAATGTGCTACCCACTTGACAAAAAAAAGAACAAAATTTATTTCCCAACTTTACTGCCTTGACATATAAAACGCGATAACAATTTTTCCAAGATAAGGTTGTCAACAAAGTATCAAACATCTCAGAACAAAAAATGATTTGGAGTCATCAGAAACCATCTAGAAGTGCTAAACCAACTGTCACCTACATCAAAATTTTGTTAGCAATTGTTGTGCAAAGATTGTTAGCGATTATTGGTGTCCTACCTTCGGGACTCTGGCAATGGAGTGATTCAGGTACACCATTCACATTGGAAGAAGATCCGCCATGGGGAGAGATCTATGGAAGTACACAAGAACTTATTATTTCTGATGGTAAAGCAATCACAAGAAGGAGCCAGACAAAAGACCAGCAAAGTTAAAAAAACCCCAAAACACTCTAAAAACATCTGTACAGAGTCAGTTTACTTTTCTACTTCCATCTTATTTTTATTCTTGCTTTCTCACAGTTCATCATCATTATACTACGTCATTGTCACTCGCACCAATTTAAGATTCAGACCTGATATTCCTATTTAGATAAGTAGTTGAACAGATTACAGTAAACAGCAAAGAAAATTCCCTCCAGCTGCACCAAGTTCCATCTAAACCTCATAGAGCCAGTGTGTGTGAGGCAACATTCCCTCCTTGTTCTCCATGAGATCATCACAATACACTCTGCGTACCTGCTGTGGTCTAACACAGCTCTTCAGAGCTCACACTGTCTGAGGTTTCCCTGCCTGAACTCTGTCAATATATTCTCTCTGTAGATTAGCACTGAAGCATGCTAGGAAGGTAATGTAGAAATGCTTGCGTGGCCCTACTAGTTTTCATTTAAAGAAGAGAATTTTGGCATAGATGGACATCAATGATAGGCAGAGTTCCTTGGTAATGTAGTGGTCTATATTTTAGGTTATTATGCATGTGAAGATTTATGACATCTACAAGCATTTCAAGTTAAGATGTCTGATATGCATCCAGACATAGATCCAGTTTTAGTAACTGTGACCCTGTGTACAAAACAAATATCTAAATGATTTTGAAGGATGAAGGCTGAAGAAAAGTACTTTTGCTCTGCTTGAAACTTACTTGATACTCGATCTGAATCTTCACAATTCTACTTAAAGTCATCCTATCATACTGCCCAGGGATACACACAAGAATCAATTTTTGTTTTAAAAAGGGGTGGAGGCATAGGAATGATTGCCATGAATAGTAAAATGTACTGGATGTGTTCTCTGCACCGCTGTTTTATAAGGTCTCCCATTACAGTTAAGTATAGGGATGCTCTATGAAATTAAAATAAATTTTAGATCATTCCCCCTCCTCTACTTTAACATTTCTTGCTGTTCTGTGAAGTTCTATATCTTGTTTTCTTCATGGGCTATTACAGTAGTTCTCACCACTCGCCACATAAAGGATTAAAATGCTTCTTTGCCTTAAGCTCAGTGTCTGTTGAAATGGCTTTGCATGACACCAGGAATGCAAATGCAGCATTTTCCATTTTAGCTGACATTGTCTGGTTACACTGCTGAATATTTTAAATCATTAACACTATTGTCAATGAAAGGACTGAACTGACAGATAGGGATATTGTCTAAAGGCTCATGAAATGCTAATGAATGCTTAAGTTTCTAGTGGCAGCTGAGCTGCCTAATCAGCTAAAGGTACAGTAACTAGAAGCTGTACAACTTAATTTTGCAGAGCCTCTGAAAAAATGATGTTTACTAGCATTGGGCATAGAAGTAACATCAAACAGCAACCAGTCAGCTACTACTCTGCTCCTTGCTAGTAACTTAAAACCAGGCTATGTCAATGGTGCTCTCCTTCCGAGTTATCTATTTATTTAACAAAGATCAGGAACAAGGACATTTGGGCTAAATGACATTTGTGCAAAATCACGTGTCAGTCTCTTAACTGGTCACATTTTCTTCAAGCATGAAGTGGAGACAACAGAAACACTGCAAAGTATTAGTCATCAGCCAAAAATATTAGTAATCTACTTTGCATTTTCAGTGAGTAACATAGGAATATCTAGCCCACACTTCCAACTTTCATCCTTGTAATCAGGTCAGAGCATGACTAGGCACATTCTTTCTTACCACCAAACAGCAACATGAAGAAAAGCTAAAAGGAATACAAAAAGAAAAAAAAAAATCTAATGCTGCTGCTGTGGCTGAGGTGCTAGATCAGAATCTGAAATGGCAGGTTTAACTTTAGCTCTGCCTCTAATTTGCCTCATGGCTCTAGACATGAGGCTGAACTCACTCTGCAACAGAGACTGCTGGTAATTTGGGCGCTGTAGGTCTGTGTCTCTCTTCCTCAGCAGCAAAATCAGTCTAATCTTTCCCTGCTGTGTCAGAGCACAGGAGAAATAAACTCTTAAAACGTCTGCAAGGTGCCTGACTAGCCAAAAAAGGTGGGGAGGAGGTAGGAATTGATGAGAAGTGACACAGAATAAAGTGATTTTTATTGTTAAAGTAATTTTCTAATCATTTAACTACCCAGTGACACGTAATGTTTAGAATATCTTGTACTGTTGGTATCCCAACAGCTGCAAGTATTTTGAAGGTGAAGCAAAGATTCTGGATGTGCAAGTAGACTTGACTGGCTCACGAGCCACTCCTGAAGTAGCAAGGAGAAGAGAAAAAAACAGCACAACCTTTAAACAATCACAAAGTCCAAGAGCATGAACGGAAATGGATATGCAAATGTAAGGCAATGTATAAGTAGCAAGGAGGGACTGGCCCAAGATTCCCTTAAAATCTGAATCAGAGAGTGAAGTCAGTGATTTGAGAATGAAAAAGCAGCAGCTTGAGAGTCATTTTAATCAAGCTACATACACTGGTCCAGCAGCAAAGATTTTTAATATATCTTTTGAGTCAAAATGCTACCATATACCTGAAAAAATGTAAACAGAGTGCTTGTATTTAAAATTAGAAATGTGCAGGGACATAAGCAAGTAATCCCAGACAACTACACACCTGGGGGGATTTTACTTTTTGTTTCATGAGAGCACGAAGAAGGATTCACAGAGAGAAACCCATATTCTCTTGAAGTGGAATGGTACCTTAGTTGACAAACCCTTGCACTCAGGATTAGATTAATTGCCCATGACATGAATGTTTGTGGAAACATTTGGGGTTTTTTTTCATATTGAAGGAAATACCCAACTTCTTGGCACCTTCAAGGGAGTGGAATGGTACCTTAGTTGACAAACCCTTGCACTCAGGATTAGATTAATTGCCCATGACATGAATGTTTGTGGAAACATTTGGGTTTTTTTTCATATTGAAGGAAATATCCAACTTCTTGGCATCTTCAAGGGATGGTGCCTTCTAGAGTGCCCATCTAAAGGTTTCCTGTGTCTGTCCTCCTTGCCTGGATAGAAATGAAGGACTTTTGCCATCAGGTTGCTAGACTTACAAAGGTCCTGTGTACATTGTCCTTTACACATATGGGCAAGTGCTTCTTTGACTTCAGTCAGACCTCCTGTGGTTGCTCAGTATCTTCATAGCATGTCTAAGATGCACTGAATGTGCTGCCCTTGTCCTCCGGCACATTCATAATGTGCCGACAAGACTCTCAACTGTAAGGTACACATGTACATGTATGTATGCACATCCATACCCTTGTGTCTGGAAAATTCCAGACAGAAATATGGGACCCCTACACAAACATTATTGTTACTATTTTGATCCTGTAATATCCTCAAAGTGCATCGGCCAAACTTAGAAAAAGTATGTCTAATATTAATATTTATAATTCCTTGAATTCTCATCTGGTTTTGCTGTGGTAATCTTTCATCTGAAGGCTAAGACGGCAACGAGAACTCTCATACCTTCAGAAAAACTCCTTGATATTCTCAAAGAAGCTTTCTCTGTCGTTATGAAAACATTCAAATTGATGATGAATCTAACTGTAGACTATGATTATTTTAGTGAAACGGTGAATTAATTGTTTGCAGAAGTATTCTCTGAAATCTGGGGATGCTTTTATAGTGTCACTGTAATTCATCCTGAAAGCCTGCAGTAAGAAAGAGCTAAAAGATATTCCAACCACAAATTGTTATTTATATAATCAGTATTTCCAGTGAGATATTGTTAGTATTTATTATTATAACGCTTAACAGCAAATTAATCTGTAAGACAGAAACTTCATATTTTTTAAGTGATAAATAGTGCTAGTAACCCAACTGTACCGAGAAGCTACTTTGTAACAATACAACAGCCAATTAGAATGTAGTGATTTTGCTGCCATTAATTTGAGCATACATGGTATGGTGCATATATATGTGTGTGTGTGTGTGTGTATATATATATATATATATAAAAGTCATGCATTTGGTTGCACTGCTCTGGAAAGGCTGAGGAACCACATAAAGATTTACCCTTTCTCTAAAGAGATTTTGAGTTGCATTGCATTATGTAAAGCATTTAGCAAACTGATGACAATGGTGAATGGACTTGACACCAAGTGCAATACCTCAGTTCCCCTACCAGCACAACTCAGCCAACTCTTTTTATCTACTGTATGAGCAAGAAAGATGCTGAATTGTAAATTCAACAAAGGCAGCAGCTAAAGAATTCCTCTAAGAACGCTATCGCACCTGTGTCACTAGGTCAGGTAATTGCACGTAAATATTCTTAACATGTAACTGCTAACAGAAGGACATGTGTACAAAACTGAAGAGATTAAAACCTTGATTAAGACAGGCACTAATCCTTCAAATCACTTAAGCACATGTTTAACTTTAAGTACATTAACATCCTCGTTGAAGTAAAAGGGACTACTCAACAGCTTAAAGTTAAGCAAGTACTTAAGTTACTTGTTGGATCAGGTTTTAATGCCCTTTCACTTTGCTCATTTGGTCAATCAATCCAAAAAGTAGTACAGAGACAAATTCAAACACAATGCTATTTAGCATAATTGGGATTCTAAGAAAGGTCTCAACTGTAAAGCGTCTTTATTTGTACAATGTCATTCTCTCTTTTAAAAGATGACAAGACTTTGTGGTACTTAATTTCAAGAGGGGACAATAAAGCACATCCAAGCATAAGGAAGTTATGACACCACTTTCCAAAATCTCCTATTTAATCTCACCTCTGGATGATTTGTAAGGTACGAAGTGAGCATCCAAGCAGACGTACTGGAAGAGCTAAGAGTCAGAGTACCCCTAACAGCACTGCATAGCTGGGTATCTAGCAATGCACACTTAGAACCAAAGAAAAAGGCTAAACCTTTCAACTGTCACCTGCCTACAGAACAGCAAAAGGACTCCTCTCAGTCAGTTGTCCTGTGCCACAGTGCACAACGCACTATTACCATTATTCCTTAATCCATGCACTAGTTTTAATGTCTATGGAAAAGTTAATAGAAAAATAAGAAACTCAGCACATTTGCTCAAAAAAGAATCTCGTACAGAGTAGTCATTTACTTCATGCACATACTTGTTAACTTTTATATCTAAATCTTTATCTTGAAACAAACTGTCTGCAAAGTGAAATGCCTAGTTACAGGCTAAAACTGTGATGTTAAAAATAAACAATTTTAATAAGAATACATAGTAGTATGCAACTTCAAAAAGCTTAGGCAGGTTCTAATCTATTGTCACATATTTTATTTTGCTCTGGCTTTCCAAACAACATAGTTTTCAAAGCACCGTTCACATGCAGCTGCTCTGACAGTCTGCTCTTTATAGCAAAGGGAAACATCAACCCTGATTTGTTCCCTTTTCCTGCTGCCCTAAGCTCCTATAAAACCATTATTAAGTGTTGCTATTTCAAGCTCTACAAAAATAAACATATATGATTTCTACACAACAAATCGGCCAAAATATTGCATTTCTGAAGCCAGAAAACTCAGAAATATACTTTATTCTTTCACTATCTGCCATGGTATTTATACCTACATTTTCGTTCAGGTATAGTCATGGCACCTTCTTTATACAAGTGCAGGAAGCCAGACTACCTGTCTGCGCGGCGATACAGTCTTAGCAACAAGGAATTATCTAACAAGAGGGAAAAGTGGTAATCTCAAAATAATAAAATTGGTCCCTGCTTTTCCCCTTTTCCCTCTTATCAGACTGACCAAGATCAATCCCACAAAAATAATAATGAGCTTCTTAAAAGAACCTGGTTTTGCACAAAAGCATGCCTCCCTGTTACAGGTTTTATGTTGATACCAAAACAGTCATTACTACTAGAACATAATCAAGAAACAAGGGTCACTGCACAGGGCACTTGACCCTTTTGGAATTCATCCTGAGATTCACCAGATAACTTTATCTTTAGCCTCAGGAGCACAACTGGGATCCTCCTACTGAACAGATGCATCCTAATGAGATAAAACAAGAGGTACTCACTACTTCAGTAACAGGCCAGGTCTGAGATGATTAATTTGGTTTTGCTGTTTTCTCTGGTCATATAGGGATGAATTATTTGACATGAAAACCCATTAGTATCCAGCATCAATTAAATTCCAAAATGAAAAAATGCAAAAGCCTACTTCAGTGGAATTGGCAGTGAAGGGGAAAGAGGACATGTCCACTTTACTGAAAATTGCTTGTTACTATCAGAATTATCTCTATCTTAATGGCGCTTTAATCTGCTAAAAGCAGACAGTACAGCGTGGGAAAAAAAAGAACCAAATTATCTAGTTTCTAAACTTGTAATTTCATTAAAGAAAGACGAAAGAGCATTTGTTAAATATAGTGCAGAGCAGCTGACAGCCTCCAGTCCCACGATTTTGGTGTCCTCTACTTAAGTTCTATAGCAAAGCTGTCCAGACAAATTTTAAGACACAGTGTTCTTATTTTCAATGTCAGAACTATTACTGCTCTTGAAAATGCTTTATAGGGGAAAGGCCAATCTCTGTTGCTTTGGACAAAGAGAAGCTATGGGATGGTACAGCTCAACAACATGAAGGCAGAGATCAACACTAAATTGCCTCAATGAACTGAACAACTAAAAATATATTAGAATTAAACACACAAATCAAAGCCTTTTCTCAGAATTATCACAGCAGCCTGGCAGAAACCAGTGCCATACTCCTTGCAAAACAAAGACTTGATAACAATTAGCATGTCAAAACCCAAATCTAAATACTATTCAAATCACGTCCTTTACCCAGTCTCTTAATTGAGAAAACAGTTTTCCACAGAATTACGCAGCCTCTTCACAACTGTTGTGTTCACCAATGGGAGCTATTACTTGATCAGAATAATCAGTGCAAACCATCCAGTGTGCTTCCAAAAAGGCTGCAATTGACGATTTTGTAACAAAATTCTCCTTGAAAGGACAGCTGCACTAATGCAGTAGTAAGATGCTCAACTGTGCTCCAGACTGTTCCTTTTATTTTACCAAGCGAAAGGCACAGAGCCGCCACTAAGAACTGTAAATGCCAATTTTTTAAGTGGGAGAGGATGAGAATTCTCTTGGTACAACACAGAGAAAAATCTGCCAGACATCAGGCTGCTCCCAAAGGAACTCCTCACATGCTTTCAGGCAGGAGACTGCATTAAGGGGTCAAACTGTGTGCCATGGATGAAGAAGGGTGCTTCAGATGAAATTTTGGGCAACGCTACAAAAGTATAAGGCATCAAAAAGAGGATACTACATTTATATAGGCTGAGGGAATACAAATTACTTGGAGGGTTTCTGCAGTCCATGAAACAATGGAAAACTTGGAGGGCAAACTGGCATATTCAAGCCACCATCATCCTCCACCTTTCCATCCTGCCAACCAAAGACAAAATACAAAAATCTTACTTCAGATCTCTTTTCCACTTCAACTCAAAAATCATATTAGCAAGGCTACCCTATAGAATTGTAACTTTTTTTTTTTCTTTTTTCCTTCTTCAGCATCACTGTAATACATCATTCAATGAATAATGGTATTTAGGGGTTTTCATGGTTCTTGCACTTACCTTGAGTCCACGAAAGCTGCCTGGGCTTGTTGGTGAAGAACTGGAGGACTTTGTAGATTTTGGGGTGGATAATTGACTGCTTGGGGTTCCATTAACTGGCCAAAGCAATAAAAGCAAACAAATGGAAAAAAAAAAAGATGAATAAAAGTCAAAACCCCTAACTTGCTTTTAAACATAACATAGCTCTCTGACAAGTTATCACTCTGCATTCAAAGACCAAAACAGATTCCTCAGCATTTAGGAATAAATTACACACTTGCATGCCACACAACTGCACCCCCAAAACTCATGTCGCTGGATATGGGATCAAGAAAACACACAAATACTGCATCGTCATTCTAGAGATTAAAAAGGCATACTCTGTCCTTTGCCAGTGCAAGAGCTTTGGGCAAATAATAGCCACAGCCTTTTTAAATGATATCATTTATTGTGATATCACACAATAAAATATGGAGAGAGAAAGTGTTCATAAAGACATTTGACCCTCCATCTCTCCTTTTTGGATCAATGCCTTACTTTCTAGGTAGAATGTTTCACAGAACACAAGTTGTTTTGTTTGTTTTTTCACCAAGAAAAACAAACAAACAAGAAGTATGAGCTGTTTGGGTGATAAAGAACTTAAGCAGTAGTTCAGAAAAACATTGACTTAGGGGGAAAAAAACCCAACAAGGTAATAGCTAGTAGGTTATTTCTGAACTTCTAAGAAGTTCAAGCGTCTGTGAAAACATACAATATCCTCCCTCTTGACTTCAAGAGTTCATTCATTTTAGGTCCAGTTTTCCAGACATGCCTGATACAACAGGCCTGATCTGTTATATCTCTGGTGACTTGAATATAACTTAGGTCAGTCCTTGTATTTTTCCCAAAAAAAACAAACTGATGAATTTCATTATGCAGACAGAATAGCACACTGTTCATCACACACAAATATGATACAACATATGATGCAACATCACTTCCTCTCTAGCTGAACATCATTTTTCCTGGGAGAAGAAAATACTAGGCAGAAATTTAAGAGCTAAAAAGGTTTCACAGCTGATTCATGGTGAAGAATTATTTTTTCAGAAAGAAAAAAGCAACCCTGTCAAATAGAAACTTAGCTTCAAAGTAAGTAACAGTTACACCTGCACAAATCCTTTACACATTCAGAGGTCTGTCATGAGTTATGCATCACTTCTTAACCAGCACTACAGGATTTATTTTACAAATGTCTATTAACCTAGTACCCTAACATTCTCCGAGTGCTGAAGATGACTTCCAAATAGTATTTTTACAACTTGGGCAGTCCACCTGCCAGTAGACCAGGCTAACTGCACTGCAACTGCCACAAAATCCTGTTTGTCACAAAAATCTCTTTCTCTGATGTGTGATGTCAAGATATAACTAATTAGCATTTAGCTACAGAATAAGTCTATCTTGAAGTTCGATAACTTGGATTTACATTCCCAGATCTGTTACAGGACTAAGATTTTAGTCTTTCCTATTAAAAGTATTCAGTGCATTTAGGATATTTTTGTCCTGACTTTAACAAGGATTGCCTGTAAGAACAATAGAAGAATTATTTAAGTGTTTTTTTAAGAGTATCTATCCCTCCTGCAGGCTGCTTTTCATCACTTTGTTTTAGATAACGTTCCTGAAACCTGGCATATCAATGCATCCTTGTTTTATAAAGAATTTGCAAGTAGGATGGTGAAAAGGGCTAGTGAACGCTATCTTACTGTTTTCTGCTTCTCGCATATACAATTTGTTCTAGCCATTAGAAAAAATACTGAGCTGTAAAGGTCATGACCAAAAATTAGATACTTCAGTAGAAGAATTTGCTTCAAATGAGCAACTATTACTACAGGAGGAAAAAATTTTTGTTTATTCACAAATTCTTTTTATACAGCTCACAAAAAGGTCACTATTTCCTCAATATGACCATTGAAGCCTACACTGTAATACATCCTTATCTATCTCTAAGTCACTACCATCCTTTTAAGCACCGACAGAACCACTAAATTTACTTGTGAAATTGGCTAGTTAACATAATCTTTTTCCCTCTCCTAACTGTCTAAGAACATCTCAGCCTACACTGACAGTACTCTAGCTCTTTGCTAGTGTCTTAGATATGCTTGGTGGACAAGGGTGGTGTTCTGAACCAGGGGTATGACTAGATGATGTCCAGAGGTTCCTTCCAACTTTTATCCTTTTATGATGCTACAACGCATGGTACATTCTGCTGAGGAATCTATTTAAAAGAGCTGTGTGTAGATACAGCTTTGCCAATGTCTTCTGAGATCCACCACATGTGAGTTGGTACACAACTGCAACAACAGTAAAAGCTGGAATTGGCCCTATGTAGATGTAAAAATTTTGCATCTACAGGGAGTCAGCCAATGGCTTGTGCTGGTTTTGGCTGGGACAGAGTTAATTTTCTTCCTAGTAGCTGGTATGGGGCTGTGTTTTGGATTTGTGCTGGAAACAGTGCTGGTAACTCAGGGATGTCTTAGTTATCACAGAGCAGGGCTTACCCAGAGCCAAGGCCTTGTCTGCCTCTCACCCCACCCCACCCGCGAGGGGGCTGGGGGGGCACAAGGAGTTGGGAGGGGACACAGCCAGGACAGCTGACCCCAGTGACCCCAGGAATATCCCACACCGTATGACGTCACGCTTAGCAACAAAACTAGGGAGAAGGCTGGCACGCGGGCTGCTGCTTGAGTCTGTCTGGGCATCTGTCAGTTGGTTGTGACCAATTGTTTTCATTTGCATCGCTTGTCTTCCTTGGGTTTTATTTCTCTCTCTTTGTTATTTTCCTTTTCCTTACAATTTATTATTTTTATTATTGTTATAATTTCATTTCAATTATTAAACTGTTCTTATCTCAACCCACTAGTTTTCTCCCTTTTATGCTTTCAATTCTCTTCCCCCATCACGCTGTGGCGGGGAGTGAGCGAGCAGCTGTGCAGGGTTGAATTGCTGGCTGGAGTTAAACCATAGCACTGCTATTTCAAACAGCAGTACTTTTTTTTTTTTTTAACTGAAAAAACACTCAAGAAATCTGTATTCATTTTTGGCACAAACTTGTCCGTTGCTATGGATTTGCTCATTATTTAACGTACATGCAAAACTTACCTTTCTCATTTTTTTTCTAAGTATAAGTTCTTTTGAGGTTTCTTTTGCATGTATAGCAGCCTGAATATACAGGGAAAAAAATTCTTTTCTGTCATTCCTTAAGTAGTACATATTGGGCTACAATTCTTCAGCGTATTGGAATGTTGAAAACTGAAAAACCTATGAATAGCCTTTAAATTGTTAACTTCTAGACGGTCCAAAGTCTCAACTTATTTGCTAATCAAAATACATGTTACTTGTTTTAGAGATACTTTCACTGTGAACTGAATGTTTAAAGAGGTTTCCCAATGTTTTAGGACTTAGGATGAAATAACACAAGAAAACAAAGGAAGGCAAGAAACTGTAAATAAAATTAAAAACTACAACACTGCTTTTTTTCAGCAGCTCTTACCTCTTGTCTTTTTGCACTGGCTAAAATTTTCTATTATAATATGCTATAGAATACACATACAAATATATTGCTCCTCAGAATGCTCCTCTACTTGTAGCCAAATTATACCTTTACAAATTTAACTTTGACACCATTAGCAGATGTCCAACAACTAGAAAGCATCATTTATGCTACTTAAATGATCTACTTCAACAAAAAACCTACACTCATTATGTCTCTGATTCACTGAATGCAAACTGTATGTTTCAAGCTTGAAAATATTCACAAATACACCAAAAAGAATACAGGTAAATGGAGAGGGAGGAGACACACTAGTGATATACAGCCATAATAGTAATGGCTCACCTGGGGATTTTGCTGAAGAATAAGCACTGGAGTAGTGGCCACCCCTCTTTACTGTACTCATATATTTGACACAAAGGAAAAAGACATTAAGGAAAGAAGTTATTAAACAGGTCTGAACATGCATGAAAGGAAGAAGGGTAAATAAAGGTAAGTAAAGACTACATGAGAAAAAATGGCAGGTAAGTAGAAGGATAAATACCAGACACTTAGGATAAATTTTTCAAATTAACCTAACCAAAAGGGTGTCCACAGGGAAGTACCTAAGGAAATGACAGCACTGATTTCTAAATACTTTGCATAAAATTCACTGTTGATAGATATCCCATGCAATCTCATTGGAGTTTACAGGATTGCACGAAATGTAGATCAGTTGAGAAACTTGCCCTTCACACTACATTCTTCTTCCTTGTTACTGCAATCCTTCTTTGAAACTTTTCAGTTAAATATTCAACCTTTATAAACAGATGATAAATAATCCACTTTGAAAGAACTCAAAGACATAAAATTACTTTAACAAGCATAAATTAAGCAAAACAAATATTGATATGGAAATGAGCATATGGAACACGTTGCAGTTTTGAATACACGCACAGGAGCTTACATGTATAGTTACACTCAAAATAGAACATAGTGTATTTACATATTCAATGGTTCAATGGTTTGATTTCAGGGCTACTTCTCCAGGTCTGAGGGAAAAAAAAATTAATTAAGTTTTATTGTATTTAGAAATTAAACGCAGAGGTAAAAAAGGAAAAAAAACAAGTTTCTCCATTCTATTTATTTGCATAAAAGACTCAATGGTTGGAACATATGGTGTTCAGCCAAACTGCTGGTAAAAACACAATGTGAACCTTTCTTTGAAATTACAGGAAGCACAAGAAGGAAAATTTCCCTGTTCATGGGCCATAACATCCCAGAACTTCTCCTAAAATTACTTGAAACAGCAAAATTCTGTATTTCCGACAATATTTGGCATATATAGGAGAAACCTGTCAAATTCAAAACACCTAAGGGTACACTCAAGTTCAATGAACATGAATTTAACCACATAACCATCCTGTAGTTAACAGTCTTCGAGAAAATCAAGTGCCATGCTGAAAACATACTCTAAGCATACAATTAGCACAAAGTATTCCAATGCTTATAAAGTGCTCTTTGTGCCTGTTAATTAAAAAATAGAAATCACATTTGTTCTCAGGATTCAAAAATAAATGCAAATTTTATTATAAATTAGTATTAAATCTCTGAAACTGAAAAAACATTTTTTTCCCTTAGGAAACAAAGCATGGCACTTGTATTTCAGACAGAGCCAATATTTTTTTCACCCCATTAAACAAATTCTAACTTTCATGTATTTTACATGTTCAGCTCTTTCCTAGTAGTACCTGAGGCAGGTGATTTGCTTCGACGTGAAGGTCCTGGACTTTTGGACCCACTATGCCTCATGCCAGATGACCGGGAATAAGAAGACTTCATAACACGGCATTCTACAAAGCAAGCAGATAGTTTTGACAACAGTTCAATGTACAGGCTTCCTGCAAAAACTACTGTTGCTGTTTATTATCCAGAAAATGAACATCAGTATTATCTAAACATGCTTGCCCAACCGAATGAGACAAATTTTATAAAAGCATCTCAAAACTTTAACCTACATAACATACAAAGATATCGGAGCTACTCAAATGCTGTATGTAATATTCTGCATGTAGCATTTCTTCATGTCTTCAAGTTGGATTATTACTCTAATTCAAGTTTGTACCCACACACAGCTGAAAGAGTAGAGAAGTCAGCTGATGCCAAGGTTCTTCTGATAATTCAGTAAATCCTGCACACTGTAATGGCAGTTTCATACAGGGCAACAGCACAGCAAGCCCCATTTACCTTCTTTTGCAAGAAACTGATGTTGTGACCAATTCTTAAAGAAGTGAAAAATGTCTGTTGTTTCCAAAAGGCTGAGACAATAGATTACTGCTGTTTACCATCAGCTATAGATCATTAAATAAAAAACAATCTAAAGTGGAAAGGAATCAATAGCCATACATGCATTGACATTTTGGAAACATTTTAATTCCTACAGTTAGCATTCACTGCAAATCACTCCCAATGGAATCATATAAATTTCCGTCCTAATTTTGTCAACATTATTCATCACTATGATGTCAACGCCATCATTATGATGCCACGTCATCATCAAAACTAGTAAGTAGAGCTGCATGCCCTGCCAGTCAAGTCATGTTCCATTTTGTACCTAACCTGGTTTTCTCCATTAAGACCTCCAGAGTTATTAGAGGAAGCAGGGACCACCAAAGTTGAAGAGACAAAGGGAGGAAAAAAACCCCTCCATCACTGGGTTCTCAGAAAGCAAATGAGCCCATTTAGTCTGTGCATTGTGTAATGGGAAAAGCAAACTTATGGCCTTAAAATCTGCAAGGGAAATTATGATTTTTGCCCAGACTGAGAGTTGCAGCGTGAGTTAATACAACCATGCTCTTCCATTTCTGCGTAAGAATAAAATCATATCTTAGCTAGTCTAAAACTAAGTTAAAAAACTACCTTTCTTGTCACCTACACAGTAGCTGAATCAACATAATTAGGCAGTTCTGGAAAAGTAGCATGCTGGCAATAACAACAGAATGTATGGACTAGTGGTTAGATATATACCTATACTTCTTGATGTAACTGAAGATTTTGTAATGAAATTCTGACATTTGTAGAAATTAGAAAAACAGCAGGTGCTTTTGCTTTCAGTTACCTGAGAGCGAGGCAAAAAAACCCCCTCTTATTCACAACTGGAAGCTCTCCTCAAATAATGATTCTTGCCAGGGTAAGTTTTCCTTACCGCAGATTATTTTTTCCATAAAAGAAAATCAGGGTGATTCTACAGCTGAACCAATGTAGATAGGTAAACCATGCCTAGGAGGGCCTGTAGTGATAGGACATGGGATAATGGTTTTAAACTAAAAAATGGTAGATTTGGACTAGCTAAGGAAGCAATTTTTTTATAATGAGGGTAGTGAAAGACTGGAACCGGTTGCCCAGAGAGGTGGTAGATGCCCCATCCTGGGAAACATTCAAGGTCAGGTTTGATGGGGCACCGAGCAACCTGATTGAGTTGAAGAGTTGAAAATGTCCCTGCTCATTGCAAGAGGGTTGGACTAGATGCCCTTTAAAAGTCCTTTCTAACCCAAACGATTCTATGACTCTACGAACACGGAGAAAAAAAAACAAACAACATATATGTGTGATTTGTTATTCCAAGTGAATTCTAAAACTCCCTGGTAGAGGAAGAGCTTTTCCCATGAACTTACATTATAGATTTTCTCTTTAAAGAAAAATAACTTTCACAAACAAGTTAAATTCATGATCTTTCAATGGCAGATAACATGGGCACAAAGCCCCAGCTTGTCTCACCTCCTTCCCCAGCCAACACCCACTATAACCTCACAATTTAAACAGGCTCAACACTTGGTCTACAGCAGAGAAGACTACAATGTGTGAATTGTCTAGCAGGACAATTCAAACCTGAAATGAGCATGGTTACATATGTGATTTTTCAAAATTCTCATGAAGACAGCACTATGGAAATCATCTTATAGTCACAGATGTCAAAGGTGAACTCTTTTAACAGATTCAAAAATCCATTAGATCCATGACTGAACCTTCTAAAATTCAATGCTGTTTTCCATGTGACTTTAGGGACAGGGTCTGTTTTCCAAGAAAATAGATCAGGTTTGTTAGTTTTAACAAACTTACAGAATCCAGATGATGGCCTGGAAAAACCTTTTCATTCAGATGAAAATATATTCCCATGTATATTTTCCTAAATCACACAACTCCTCAGGATTGAACGGGGAGGTGGGGGAACAGTTCTCAATGAAGTTGACTATTTCAGTGGGTTTAGGATGTACAGTCTTACCGCTGTGATCCAACACGAAGTCATCCTGAGCATACCGGTATTTCTCAGGCCCACATGCAATGAAGACATCATCATCTCCAAAGAAGTCCTGCAAGCACGTCACCTTGACAGGAAAATATACAAAACAAAATGAACAAATGCAGTACTTTCAAATACTAAATCTTCAGTTAGTCAGCAACAATCAATAAATTTGTGTTTTCCTTTTCACATTGATACCACAATGTTCTTTTGTAATGACAGAAACACCCCAGTTCTCAAGTACTTCAGCTCTTCCAGTAGTGCAGGAAAACTCAAGGTCAAGAATGTAAAATATGACTGCCCTTCACCTCTGAAACCACCTTCTCTTACATTTAACACCTGTTTTTTTGCCTGTAACTACTCAGGCATGCTGATGACTTTGGCAAGATGAGCTATGAACAGTACTCAAATACCCAAAACTTCTTGTATTCTTACATTAATTGTTTATGGGAAAATCTGTCGAGTTAAAATGATTGCATCTACAAATTTATCTTTTTATGCTCTAGAGGCACTTAATTTCCATGTTTTAATGTCCTGTTAAAAAAAATAAATTAATTCCCCTTTTATTAAAAGGTATTCCGTATTCAAGAAAAAAAGAAATACAGAGTCCTTTCCATGCCCTTTGCAGCTCCGTCTGTTCTTAATTCTCCTGGTAATGATGCTACAATGTATTGCAAGAAGGATGGGTATATCGTAAAGAAAAAGGTTTTAGACATTCTTTAAAAACACAAAACCAAAGACCTTGAAAAAACCTCACTCTTCAAAAGTCAATAAAAGTCATCTTGTGAAGGGGCAAGTGTCTGCTTTAAAAGCAATTAAAACCAAAAACGCCACAATAAGAAATCCCACTGAACTCATTCTAACTCTCTTGTAAGAAAAAAAAGTGTTTGGAGGTAGCAAGTCTTTTTTTTTAAATGTAAACGGATAAAAATTTTACTGTAATATTGTTTCCCTATTCCTTTTAACATTGCACACCCAAATGAGATCTGGAAATAAAAGCTATGTAGAAGTTAAGAAAGTTAGAACCATTTGGTAAACCCATGTCATTAAAGAGGTGAAACAAAAAGCTGCTTTTAGGGAAACTAGCTTTTTTCCTCCCCAGATACCTGTCAACACCATTTGCATCTTTTACCCACTGTGATAATAGTAAACATTGGCAGAACTACAGGAAAGGGTCTCTAGTGCCTGCAGTATTCTGAGAAACACTCAGAATATCAATGACCCTCAGCTCTCTGCGAGAGCACCCACACAGGGCATTCACCAGCAGCGCAGTTGTCATGGCAGCTAACCCAGGGATAACAGCCAGATGTCTATTTGTGTCACTGTGTTATCCAGCCATCACCAAAATCCTTTTATTGTTATTTTACCATTGCAATGACAATCTGCTCTCAGTGACGAGAGACATTTTTGGCTGTACTTGAAACTGCTGCTTCTAGTTAACCAAAGAGGCAGGAATAACTGGATTCGAAAGGGCGTAGAGATTTAAAAGAAGTTACGCTAACATGGGATTTATTCCTTTCTACTTAATGACTCTCTCTGTTACCTCATTATCAAGTGCACAGATTTCAGGAATCCAGCAGCCCACCCAAACCCACCACCACAGGAGAAGCTGTAGAAAGCCTGCAGAGCACTTCCCCCAGTAGCACTACTGGATGGGGCAGAGATGTTCCCCGAGGCACACGGTCACACCCAAAGCCCCCAAAACCGGGTGTCATTTCCACAAGCTCTGCCTACACATCACTGCTCTACCTGTGCCCTCGATGCCCTTGCAGTGCTGTTTCGAGCAGGTTAGTGTTAAATGCTGTGGTTTAGCAGAGTCTAAAATTAATCTTTCTGTTCTGATTCAAAGCCTCCCCCTCGCCCCTTAACCCATCCAGGCTAACATCTGAGCTGAGAGTAAGAGCTCGAGTAAGAGAGGAGAGAACGGCAGGTCTTAGGTCAGACTCTGAGAAACACACAGGGGTATAACCGCATGCAGCAGCATCCTTTTGGTGTCTGCAGAGCAGTTCTACAAACAAAGGGTCAGACCTGTGCACAAAAGATGACAGGAGCACCCTTAGAAATGCACCTTAAAATCTTTTGTAAACAGCTACTGGGGAGGGGAATAAAGAACTTTCAGGCATTCATTTCCATAGGTGCTTTCCCATATGCTCATGTCTATAACAGTTTCCCCAGGCAAGAAGACACAGGAGGACTCATGAGTGCCAGTGATGGACAAATTGCTGGAGGTGGAGCAGCGGCACTTCCATCTTGGAGCTCGGTCTGCTCGCCCACCGCGTACCTGTCCTGTGCGACTTCCACCTGTCAGTCACTGACCAAGACAGACTTTAGCTTACTGTAAAAGATACTAAACTACACTTGCAACTGGAAGCCAGATAAATGCAAGTATTTGAAAGATTTACATAGATGCTCGCTATAGTCCAACACTGAATACTGGAAGTCCTCCTTCTCCCTACAAATAGTCCAGACAGGCTACACATAAAATACACAAGAAGAAAAAAAAAAAAATATTGACAAAGTGTATTCAACAAGGAATAAAGATCTGCTGGAACTTAGCAATCCCAAATAACCACACATTATGAGGTAAGGGAAGTATTTTTAAAACCAAGTTCACAGAAATCTTCTGTTTTCCTAAAAGTACAATCTAGTGGTTATTTTTCTAGGCCTTTATCGTAATAAAGTCAAAGGAGCAGCTCCCAAAGTGCAAACAGATGCTAAAATAAACAGTCTTCATTTCCTACAGAATTAAAACTAATGTATATGCTGCAATTAATGATAACAGTTTTTTGCTCACTTAGTGTGCGAAAAACCTATTAAGGGAAAGCTGAAATAAAGAAATTGTTCGCATCGGATTTTCAATGCTGCAGGTCCACTGTGGTCTAACTTGCAAATCACACAGTTCTGCTCCAAAGAATATCTACACTTAGATCATCTAGCAATTTTTTACACTTTTGAGCAGGATTCTATCATTTTAGAAATTTAAAAACAAAAAAACTTTGAACGCTTACTGATTTTTTTTTAAGAGTTTCATTAGCAGTAGAACTTGTGCATATGAATAGCACATCAGTCATTCCAGTAAGTTAGGGATCAAAACTTGGTTTGTCAATCTAGTATATGACAAATGCGGATTTTCTTTCCACTAAGCATCTACACTTTGTCTTACCCATTCTTTGTTTTGCTGCACTTGGTGCTAAAAGAACTGTTCAGTCCTTCAGAATATTTCCTCAAACGCCTTTCAAAGGAAGATGGTATTAGTAAAGATACATAGAAGCGTACCATAGCAAAAATAGTCAAATATGTAGTCATTCATTCAAGTAACAACTCTCTTGCTAGTCCTGATGCTGTGAGTTTCTATGCATGAAGTTGGAAATGTGAAAAGCTTTAGACACCTTGAAGAGGTTAAGCACCAAAATGAGATCTGATTTTTCAATAGTGTTGAGAGCTTTTTAAAAATTACAGTCATTAGGTCATTTTTTAGATTCAGATCTGGCCAATTCTTAGATTACATCCACAAAGGCTCTATACAAGTACTTAAAATACATGCTTTCCTACGGTGGTCTTGCAGTAAAGGTTAATCAGAACATGCCTCTCCTGTCTGTGGATTTAATTACCACAGATGATGCTCTTGTAAAAGAACAAGACGAACATGACTTGTTTGTCCACAGAAAAAAAAAATAAATTCTATTTTAAATCTGATTTTTTTTTAACGGAAGGCATATACAGAGCTGCACATGGAAGTTTTTTAGCATTTATCATTATAGTCAACTCTACAAAGGCTTACACCAAAGGAGTTTCATGCTTCCTTGAATTCTTTTTTTTTTCCCCACATAGAAAGGTGAAATATATTTTGAAAAACTGCATTAGAAACATTTTAGAAAATGTTATCTTGTTAACTCTGGACGTTTCAATTAACATGTTTAAAATGCATTAAACCCTATTTATTTCTAAACACAACACCCTTTCCTAGGCAAACATTGCCCGTGTTCTGTTGGTAACTCCACTGCTTTCCCTCTCTTTAGAACAAAAAATGACTTACTGGTCCTCCTTTGACAACTCAGACTCATCAGGTTGTCTTGTTATACTGCTTTTGTTCTAAATATGTCACTACACAGAGCAGAGTAGTGCATATTTGGATAGGACTGGATTGGACTTTACTCAGTTCTTTAAAAATACTTCTAATGGCTTAGAATTACATGCAAGAGAATAGGGAAAAGCAAAAATGTTGTGCCAGAAGTCTCAGAATAAATATAACTGGAAGGCAACTTTACTTTTTTTTTTTTTTTTTGAGCAGCATTATTGTGTGTCTGTTTCAACAGAATCCCTTCACTTCTATTCTCACCATAGCTTTCTGAGATGAGGTGCAAATGACTCTGGGCATCACTGCTTCCTGAGGGGCTCAAAAAGGCTGGGCTCACCATTAGACTAAAGATCAGAGGACAGCATAATTCAAGCGGCAGCATCAGGAGAATGAAATTGTAATTGGCTTCGATTGCAAGAAACCCAAACATGTATGCAAGAGGCCCAATGACCCAACGATTCAAAACTTGAATTGCTTGCTACAGAAAAAGCAGTCTTTTCTCATAAAACTTCACCCTCCCCAGTTGAGGAAATCTTGTGACACTGAATGGATGAAGTTTTTTGAAAAACACAAACAAAACCTTTCTAACAGAGGTATGTATTACTAATTACGCATTATGTTACAGAAGTGGAATGACTAACAGTAATTTGCAAGACCATTAATGGTAAAAGCACTTCAAAAATCACACAGCTGAAAGCACAAAAATGTGGTTTACAAACGAAAAAAAAATGAAGCACAAATCACAGGAATGGGCAAAAATGCAAGTCAAAATGTGAAAATAGGGTGTTGAAAGGGAAAGGAGAGAAACACATCTATCTGAAAAATCCATTTCCTGATCCCCTGCTCTCTACTAGTGCAGTGTTTTAATGTCATATACACCCACCGTATTTACCTTTTAAAATAGGCTTGTATTTCTGACAAATATTTATAACCAAAGAAGTTTGCTCTTTCCAAAGAAATACTACTTCAGTCAGATCAAGCTACTGGACTAGAATACACAAATTGTG